TTTGATTTTTATTTTTCCTACTACTGCATGAAAATGATCAAATTGCCACACCTGTAAACAGTACGCAAAATAGCTCATTTGCACTCTAAAGCCGGAATGGATCATTCCCGCTGGCTAATCAGCTGATTTCACTGTTGGCATTTCTATACCAACCAAAGCCACGGACCAGGTGGATTAACAACTGTTAAACAAATATAACCTCAATTTCTTCTTATATACAACTACATTTTGTGCTATGAGAAGTTAATTATGGTGGTTAATCCACTTGCTAGGGGGTTCCCGTGTGCATTTTATGTATAGAAAAAACCCTAAGGGATCATGTAGGTACTATGTGGGTTATCATTTTTTACGTGGGTGCCAGCTTGGCAGAGTGGGCATAACCTCAGAATCTGCCATTTTAAAAATGGTGGCGGCATTTATTACATGAAACTCATTGGGAGCTTATATCTCGAAAACGGTAATATATAGCGAGTTACTTTTATAACAATAAATGTTGCTTACACAATAAGGAACAACTTTTGTATTTACAAAAATGCCCTAAATATAACTATTTAGCAGGAGTTGACCAATTTATGTTAATTTGACCAATAAATTTTTACTCTGTTCGACAAAAAAATTCTAATATCTAAAAAAACTGTTTTTTTTTTATTTGGCACATAGCACTAATTGCTCTTTTCATCTAAGGTCTAAATACCCCCGTCGCAGCAAAGTTGCAGAATCAGCAAACATTTACCTGGCTGCATTTCTACTAAAATATTAAAATTGACAGATTGATTTCCTATTTAAATGACATTGATTTGTAATGAGTACTTAAGTTTGCTGCTTCAGGGAAGGTATTGAGGTGTTTTTATGTATTTTTATTGAAATGTTGATAGCTTAGTATGAATGAAACAAAATTTTGAAATTTTACTATAATATATCCATAAACAAGCAAACTAAAACAGTTTATTTATTCTCCATAAGAATAACATGGGAATGTTAAATTTATTTTTTTATTTTAAATTATCTCCGTAACTATTGGGCATACAACGCTTCAATATACAAAGTTATTTATTTTTTGAGCTCTACAAAATGGTTTCGTTCATTATAAAATTTCGTGTTTTTAGGGCCGAAAATCGGAAAAATCCATTTTACCCCATAAAACTCCCCATAAACCCCCGTTCCCATAGTCCGATCGTGCTGGTTTAATAGTCCGAATTCGTCTGAAAACGTAGGTTTACACGTTTGTGATAAATTTCATTAAATTTGGATCATTTTTGCTCAAGTTATCAAATTAAGTCGTAGATCTGTCTTCGGATACAGATGTCGTAGTGTTGGCTTTACACTTTTTGAATGAATTCTCTTCGGAAGGTTTGCAGGAATTGTGGATGCGACTTGGTATAGCCAGAACTTCATGATATGTACTAGTTCGCATTATAGCAAACAGACTTGGAAGTAACCTTTGCTCAGTTCCCTCAGCACTCCATATTTTAACGGGCTGTGGCTTTGCCAGAAAATTTGGAACAAAGCGTGCTACCCTAAAATGTAATCCAAGTACTTTGCTAATGGACTTTGGAAAAGATGGGGAGGAAGAGATAGAATAAAGTTTGAAAAACACAGTTAAGTGTCTAGTTCACAAAAGGATACTCAGTGTGAAACTATGAATGATCTAAGACACTGGATATACGTACACTGTCACTGTACAACGAATACTCTTAAAGAACTGCATCCTTTGCTCGTGAAGAAATTCTGTCTGGTAGAGCTACTTACTATACAGCATATCTTACGTGCTTTTTATTGTACATAGGCTACATCCAAATCAATTGCATGGAAGAACACGTTTTTCAACTCGATCCTTTAGTTTTGGACACAGTGATGGTGGTTACTCTTTGCCGCAATGCTCACAAGTATATTGTGAACAGTTTAATTTTTCTGATGACTATAAAAGGGAACAGATCTAATTCCTCTTAACCCAAAAGCGCTTATAATTTAGATCCAATAACTGCGCTCAAATTTTATGAGCCACGAAACTAGTTCAATATCAATAAAATCAATCCAAAGCAGCCTACCACCAAGGACAATGTCAAGGTTCTGGTTGTGTTAACGAGACGTCAATGCTTGGCCGATGCCCCCAACTTTGCCCGCCGGTCCCGTTCCCGCTCCATCACCGTTTTAATAATAAATGTTATGAATTATAATAATAATTTCTATTACATCCGTAGATTTATTATTTGTAATAATAAAAATTCATTATATAGAAAAGTTTATATTTATTTTATATTCGTATGCGTCATTTAATAACAAAAAATTAATTTAAAAATATTTTATATTATTTTAATAACTTATATATCTGCCAGAAGCTTCTCGAATGCTTTTTGCAGGTTTTTTACCTTAAATGCGAAGAAAAATTAGTGCTAGGTGCCAAATTACAAAATAACAGCTTTTTTATAATTATTAGATTTTTTGGCAACAGAGATCAAATGTATAGGTTAAATACTATAAATATGACAATTTTAATATTTTAGTGGAAATACAGCCAGGTAAATGTTTGCTTAGTCTGCAGGTTTGCTTCGGTGGGGGTATTTTGACCTTAAATGTAAAGAGAAATAAGTGCTATGTGCAAAATTAAAAAGGAACAGTTTTTTTTTTAAGATATTAGAATTTTTTGTCAAACAGAGTAAAAATGTATAGGTTAAATTAACATAAATTACTCTACTACTCCTAAATAGTTATATTTAGGGCATTTTTGTAAATACAAAAGTTGTTCCTTATTATGTAAGCAACATTTATTGTTATAAAAGTAACAATAAAAGGACAATAACAATAAGGAGTGAGTCGGTGGCTCAGTCGGTAGCGTCGCGGACTTCGGGCCCAAGGCAGCGATGTCGTGGGTTCGGATCCTGGTCATTGCCGATAACATTTTATCAGTACAGTTCACCTTTGTACTGTACCGGCTCACTCCTTGCTTTGCTGTGAACGATCCACGCACGGGCGCTTAGTCTATGTGGACGGGCAAATGCAAGGTTAAAAGAGGCCGCCAACCTCTTTTTTTTTTAAAAAAAAAAAAAAAAACTCGCTATATATAACCGTTTTCGAGATATAAGCTCCCAATGAGTTTCATGTAATAAATGCCACCGCCATTTTTAAAATGGTGGATTCTGAGGTTATGCCCACTCTGCCAATCTGGCACCCACGTGAAAAATGATAACCCACATAGTACCTACATGATCCCTGAGGGTGTTTTTCTATACATAAAATGCACACGGGAACCCCCCTAGCAAGTGGATTAGGTCGGAAAAACTTGTGTGTACGAGCACAACCAGTAAAAATCTTTGGGCGGCCATACAGTTCTCGAGCGGCAATGAGGTACTTTGCGCTCTTAATACATTTCGTTTTTATGTCCCCAGAGGTCAAAAACTACACCCGTTAAAATTCATATATATATTTTATTAAAAATTAGTTATTTTATATACTAGTTATCAATTGAAGTTATTGAAGTCCCAAAAGTGAAATTACGGTTACTTATACGAAATAACCATAAAAAAAAAACAATTTCAGTAAAACAAAACAAATGTAGCTGTATTTTAAATACAAGAAGAGCAAAACCGTATTGTGTATCAGCTGACTGGTCTATGAACTTAGCCATGAATGTTCTTGTGTTGGATTTCAATGTGCTCTACAGTTGAACTAAAAACTTGCACATTCTACCTTGATGAGTGCGACTGCAATTTTAGACACAATGTAAAGCAATACAAACCACGTCACATCCAGGGAGAGATTAACCAAGTTCATTGTTATGGCTCATATTGTTGTGGCGTTGTCATGGAAACCTCATACTTATTCAGATATGTAAAATTGTGTTCCTGTGAAATTGAAAACTTGAATGATTGTTTCACCAAGTTTTATGAATTTTCCTATTTAATAATGGGATACCCAAAATCGTTCAGGATTTTCGTTCAGACTGTTTCACAGATTCTCAACCTGTCCTATCATCTGGTTTCTCCAAATTTTATCTTTTATTTTTAATCGGAAAATCCTAACAATTTCTATGCAGTACTTGTATGAGTAAAACTGTACGTCATTAGTTATATTAAGTAAACGAAACGTTTTAAATGCACTTTTACAAAAAAAGAGTTATAATAAAAAACCCTTTACCTCAATATGTTACTTTATTCACTTGACAGAATTCATGTGGCTCCTAGTTAGAGCATAATACCACGTAAAACAAAAATCCAAAAAACAGCACCATCAAACCAGGGCCTTTACTTCTCTCCAACTCTTTCCTTTTTTCCCCTCTTCCGTGTTTGCCTTACTCATGTTCCTTAGGACTGAGGGTTCCAGTGTAGAGTATCTTTCTAAGGCATCATGCTCTTTTGATCCATTTTAACTTCCTTCTTTTTATTTGCCGTTCTTAAGTTATTCACATGCAGAGACCACAAGACGACCATGGTGCCCCTGTGGCAATTTTGAGAAGATCTCTGGCTAAAGAATCTTCAACATCTTTCCTAGTCAACGGTGTATAAATACTTGAAATGTATATTTTGCTACCAAGACAAATAAAGTAAAATTCATATTTTTCATCCTTCATTATCTAAATTAGATAGAGCTGAACCATGTCAAATCTTCCGAGTTGTTGAACTGGCGAAAATGCAACATTCCAAATGTGTTATAGTTATATATCCTCTAAAACCATCTTTCTTCAGTTCAACTTCAGCCCTGAAGATGAATTGCTGGAGTCAGCTCTCGAGGACAATGATTTTATTTGACAGTAAAAGTTCTATAGTCTGTATGATGACCCTCCATCTACGTGGCCAATGGTTAAGGCCTGGGACACTCCCACGTAGACGGAGCTAATGCTTTATGAGGATCAGAAAACAGGTTCCATCATACAGACTATTCTTAAAAGTGAAACCATGGGTACTACGACCATATATTCAATATCCATTTTACCACTACTAGCTTTTAAAACCAAAATATTGAAGAGGAATGCTGTACAACACATGGATCTAACAAATTCCTACCTGGTATGTCGAGTTTCAGCTGTGTCGCAGGGACTCCTGCTGGCGCGTCATCGCTCCCTGTCGTGGGCCCACCCCCGCCGTGCTGCAACAAACAAAAATCAATCAAACTTGTGTGCTGTTATGTTACAATATACAATAGAATACAATACAAAGATCTATACCTCATAAATAATCAACGATCGATAATATCTCTAGATCTTCTGTAGCACCCTCTCCACTAATACAAGGCCGCCACCGCGTAGGTGTGTGGCAGCGTCGCACCGTCCTGTCTGTTGCCATGGTAACTAATAATCAGCGTGTAAACATAAACATGGTTCAGACGGGGCGTCTGAGTTGGGGCAACTATAGGTTAGTGCAACAGCTGTTTTGGTTTGCCGGGACAGCGGTGTTGCCACTTTTATCTCGCCGTTGCCTTCTATTACAGGAATAAATGATCATATTGTGTGTTGCATACCGTGTATATCAAGTTTGTTGAACATTAACATAATAAATGTTCAACAAACTTCAATCGGGGTGTCTGGGAACTGACGTGTCTATTTTTCAGATTACATGCTGAGTAAAGTTTGCAAAACAACAAACATATATCAGTTCAATAGACAATTCGCCAAGTGCCAATTACATGCTCAACATGTTAAGTATGGTAGCAGATAGTTTTCATTGAAATATATAAATGTTCAATAGATGTTTAACTTATTCCATAGAAGTGGCATGCATATAAAGAATAGTTATCAGGCCGTCTACAATAAATCTACATCAAAGACATTTAACAGAAACTTAGTCGAGTCTCAAAACTGACGTGTGTATCATGTAATGTTGCTGTAGCAGACAGTTTACATCAATACATCAACGTCACAGAGGTTCAACTAACATCTTAACTTAACAAAGGTATTATCTGACGTCTCTATCTTGTAAAGAAGCTTGAGCTAAGAAATTATGAAAATTTTACGTCACTGAAGTACAACAATAATCTAATGCAGTAGTTAGAACTTGGAAAATAATTTAAGTGCTCAAACCCGATAAACAATTTACAATTTAAATTTCTAATTTTTTTCTTGCTTTATTTAATTTTAAATTAATCTCATAAAGAGACGATTTATTTTTATCTCATCTCTATTTTAATCCAGCTTTGCAGTACTAGGAGGGAACGCTAGAACATCTCCCGTTTTAGCTAGATATTTTTCCCTTTCGTCTGTTTGGGAAATTAAAGAAATTATTAAATATTTCTATAGATAAAACATACTATTATTATTTCGTTGACACTAGCGCCAAGTGTCACCAACATGAACTAGACACGAAAAATAAGCTTCAAATTTTACAATAGGATGAGAAGTCTGTGTTGGTAAGTCTATGATACTACTTTGTTAGATTTATCGGATTTCAGTAATTAAATATTACAGAATTAAAACTAAATTCAATGTTATGTTCCATTCTATTCACTTATCAAACTGTGTCAAGTTAATGCAGAGTTGAAAATTCTATTTTCTGAAGCTATTGTAAACAAACTAACCTCAAGAAATGTCAAACACTCGGCAATACATCGGAGACGTCGAATTCCCTGACGCGATAAAAGGTTTCACATGTCAACTGTCACCGGTTTTATCGTTTCGAAAATCGCTGTTCTGTACATATTTGTCTTCCCCAAGAAAAATCCACCTTAACATAATATGATATATAATGATAATACATTACATTATTTTAAGTAAAACATATTTTTTTGTCATTTTATGTTCACTCAGTGCAATAATATCTGGTTTGGTATTTTTAAGATACATTTCAAGAAGGTTTTAAAGGGGAAACATAAGCTGCTTACAACACGGCCCTTGTAGTACACTAAGGAGGATGTAGCAGTCAGCTGTGTAGTGGATACAAGCAATGTCAGTGTTGTAAGCAGCTTATGTTGTTTGCTAGGCAGGTTATGGTTGCTAGACAACATAAGCTACTTACAACACGGCCCTTGTAGTACACTAAGGAGGATGTAGCAGTCAGCTGTGTAGTGACTACAAGCAATGTCAGTGTTGTGAGCAGCTTATGTTGTTTGCTAGGCAGGTTATGGTTACTAGACAACATAAGCTACTTACAACACGGCCCTTGTAGTACACTAAGGAGGATGTAGCAGTCAGCTGTGTAGTGACTACAAGCAATGTCAGTGTTGTAAGCAGCTTATGTTGTTTGCTAGGCAGGTTATGTTTACTAGACAACATAAGCTACTTACAACACGGACCTTGTAGTACACTAAGGAGGATGTAGCAGTCAGCTGTGTAGTGACTACAAGCAATGTCAGTGTTGTAAGCAGCTTATGTTGTTTGCTAGGCAGGTTATGGTTACTAGACAACATAAGCTACTTACAACACGGACCTTGTAGTACACTAAGGAGGATGTAGCAGTCAGCTGTGTAGTGACTACAAGCAATGTCAGTGTTGTGAGCAGCTTATGTTGTTTGCTAGGCAGGTTATGGTTACTAGACAACATAAGCTACTTACAACACGGCCCTTGTAGTACACTAAGGAGGATGTAGCAGTCAGCTGTGTAGTGACTACAAGCAATGTCAGTGTTGTAAGCAGCTTATGTTGTTTGCTAGGCAGGTTATGGTTACTAGACAACATAAGCTACTTACAACACGGACCTTGTAGTACACTAAGGAGGATGTAGCAGTCAGCTGTGTAGTGACTACAAGCAATGTCAGTGTTGTAAGCAGCTTATGTTGTTTGCTAGGCAGGTTATGGTTACTAGACAACATAAGCTACTTACAACACGGTCCTTGTAGTACACTAAGGAGGATGTAGCAGTCAGCTGTGTAGTGACTACAAGCAATGTCAGTGTTGTGAGCAGCTTATGTTGTTTGCTAGGCAGGTTATGGTTACTAGACAACATAAGCTACTTACAACACGGACCTTGTAGTACACTAAGGAGGATGTAGCAGTCAGCTGTGTAGTGGATACAAACAATGTCAGTGTTGTAAGCAGCTTATGTTGTTTGCTAGGCAGGTTATGTTTACTAGACAACATAAGCTACTTACAACACGGACCTTGTAGTACACTAAGGAGGATGTAGCAGTCAGCTGTGTAGTGACTACAAGCAATGTCAGTGTTGTAAGCAGCTTATGTTGTTTGCTAGGCAGGTTATGGTTACTAGACAACATAAGCTACTTACAACACGGACCTTGTAGTACACTAAGGAGGATGTAGCAGTCAGCTGTGTAGTGACTACAAGCAATGTCAGTGTTGTAAGCAGCTTATGTTGTTTGCTAGGCAGGTTATGTTTACTAGACAACATAAGCTACTTACAATACGGACCTTGTAGTACACTAAGGAGGATGTAGCAGTCAGCTGTGTAGTGACTACAAGCAATGTCAGTGTTGTAAGCAGCTTATGTTGTTTGCTAGGCAGGTTATGGTTACTAGACAACATAAGCTACTTACAACACGGACCTTGTAGTACACTAAGGAGGATGTAGCAGTCAGCTGTGTAGTGACTACAAGCAATGTCAGTGTTGTAAGCAGCTTATGTTGTTTGCTAGGCAGGTTATGTTTACTAGACAACATAAGCTACTTACGACACGGACCTTGTAGTACACTAAGGAGGATGTAGCAGTCAGCTGTGTAGTGACTACAAGCAATGTCAGTGTTGTAAGCAGCTTATGTTGTTTGCTAGGCAGGTTATGGTTACTAGACAACATAAGCTACTTACAACACGGCCCTTGTAGTACACTGAGGAGGATGTAGCAGTCATCTGTGTAGTGACTACAAGCAATGTCAGTGTTGTGAGCAGCTTATGTTGTTTGCTAGGCAGGTTATGGGTACTAGACAACATAAGCTACTTACAACACGGACCTTGTAGTACACTGAGGAGGATGTAGCAGTCAGCTGTGTAGTGACTACAAGCAATGTCAGTGTTGTAAGCAGCTTATGTTGTTTGCTAGGCAGGTTATGGTTACTAGACAACATAAGCTACTTACAACACGGACCTTGTAGTACACTGAGGAGGATGTAGCAGTCATCTGTGTAGTGACTACAAGCAATGTCAGTGTTGTAAGCAGCTTATGTTGTTTGCTAGGCAGGTTATGGTTACTAGACAACATAAGCTACTTACAACACGGCCCTTGTAGTACACTGAGGAGGATGTAGCAGTCAGCTGTGTAGTGACTACAAGCAATGTCAGTGTTGTAAGCAGCTTATGTTGTTTGCTAGGCATGTTATGGTTGCTAGACAACATAAGCTACTTACAACACGGACCTTGTAGTACACTAAGGAGGATGTAGCAGTTAGTTGTGTAGTGACTACAAGCAATGTCAGTGTTGTAAGCAGCTTATGTTGTTTGCTAGGCATGTTACGGTTGCTAGACAACATAAGCTACTTACAACACGGTCCTTGTCATCTACAACTAATTGTCATCTACAATAATACCAGAATCTGCTGGTTTGTATTTTTAGTGTTGTTTCAATAATTTGCATTAATTAAACTACAATTTTGCACAGTTTGCAAAGTTAGTTTGGCTGCTTGAAAAATCTAATGTCTTTTTTTTAACTAGGTATATTTTCAAAACTTCCAAAATGTAGATGCAACATCTTTATTCTTATATTCAAGATCAAAAATGTTCCTAAATCATTTATCATTTAAAAAAATCGTTATTATAAATAAATGCATAAGCATATTTTTCAGATAAAATTTGTTCTAATATTTTTCTTATTCTCCCCTTGAAGGAATTGCCCCCCCCCCCCAAATGAAGTATAGAATTGTTATGACAATGGTAAGGAGGAACAAAAAAATGCATAAGCATATTTTTCAGATAAATTTTTTTCTAATATTTTTCTTATTTTCCCCTTGAAGGAATTGCCCCCTCCTCCCCAAATAAAGTATAAATATTGTTATGAAAATGGTATGGAGGAACAAAAAATGGTTAATTATACGTATACAAGAAATAAATTAACTCAAAAAGTAGTTCGGAAGGAAAGTAAACGTTTTACAATAAACTGGCGGAGGGATTAAAATAAATGGTCTCTAATTAAGAGCACAATGTCGTCGGTCCTCCATGGATTGTTTTGTTTGGGTTAATGAAACATTCCAAACCCTCGGCACCTTAACTTTATCTCACCGTTTACTTTCTTTGCCTAAACGATATCTTAAGCAATATCGTCTCCTTAATTCACAAAGTAGATGTATTAATAGGGATATTACTGGAATTTTAAAATATCGTTTCAAAGTAATGCGATATGATCAATATTTACATTGATTTGAAATGGGTACTTACGTATTATACTGACCCCACCTAATAATTATAACCTAACCAAACCTGGTTAGGTTAGGAAGTTTTTGTTATCCAAACTAATTTAAATATTGTTTGGAAGTAGATTCGGTATAATATGTAAGTACCTAGAAAGGTAACATTATAGTTTGGATTAAGTATTACGTTAGTAGGATAATACCAGCTGCATCTAAATTACGGTAACGGCTCTGATTCTGATAGCACAACTGGTTAGACAATATACCAACTGTTTTGGGGAGACAGTTTATAAATGAAAACAATGTAGGCCTACACAACTTTTGATTACTGAATTAATTAATGGTGCGGTATGACGAGTTGTATAATTTATCACACTGGTGAAATCGTCTCATAGGCCCTCACTCATTTTCCAACCTCAATTTCGCCTCGGTCTTTAAAATTATCTGGTGAAGAAAAGTATCATTTAGGCTTGATTGATGAAATGTACCACCACAAGTCAACAAAACAATATACAAAACAAAACATGAAATGCTACAAAACTTGAAAGTTGAAGAAGTAGTTGCAGAAGTAGTGGTGCTGAGATTGGACTATCGCTTGAACAAACTTGTAGCCAAACTTGTCTAATCAACTTGAAACTTGGAAGGGTCAAAGTCTGTAACTAGCCGATACTTGGCTTGATTGGAAATGGTCTGAGAGGTTGGCTAAGAATACATCTAGGTTTGTGAAAGATCCTTAGACGCTACATAGGAAGTAAAAGCAATGCTTTGGCAATTCTTTGTTGTTTTTTTTTTACCTTTCGATCACAATATAATTTTGCTGACTGTTATCTCTGAAATATATGTAAGACAGTTATAACAGTAAGAATATATGCTATAGTTTATTGTAAGTTGATCTTTCAGTTTTGAAGTTGAAAATACAACCAAATAAGTTACTAACAGCAAAAAAACTCTGATCAATTCAACTCAGTTCTTTTCTTTTTTAATATTGGTTACAATTTTAGCATTGTGACAGATTTTTAATTTCTATCAACTGTCAGAGATCAGAGGTATCAGTTACAATAAAATTATTAGCATAATAGCTTTGTAAAAATATAAAAATTTGGATATAACTGCAACATTAAATACAGTTTTTTTTATGGACAACTTAAACAACTTTGTATGATGAAACGTTACTAGAACGTGTTGTTAGTTTGACTTGAATGAAATAGTCATACTTCTGAGTTAACATTTGATTATCTAATATTCATTTGACGGTATAGTTTTATATTTGAGTTAGTTAGTACCAAGACCAGGGGTTTTACCATTCTCTCACTAAATCGTAAAAGATTCCAGTTACGTGAAAAAAACAAGAAAATATTAAAACCTAAAGAATATTATTTATGGAAACCTTACTTTCATTATTTTTAGTTAAAATTTAAGTTGATTGTATTTTTTATCAACATAAACTACTGAGCTCACTATGTTATTAAATAATAATCTGGCAGATAATTTACTGTACAAGCTTAGTTTGTGGACAATTCTATGAGCCTGGTAACGGTGATACAAGATATTATTAGTTGTAATACATTATTGAATAAATTACTACTTTCAGTGTGTTTAATTTAGGGTCCCTTTAGACTGTTTGATCGACTCACAATTATGTAGAAATTTAACATCCTGCAACACAGCCTAACTTTCATACTCGGCTCCGTCCTTGTACTTCAAACTTCATACAACTCAGGATGTGAACACACACTAGTTTGTAACAATACATCAGCATAGAGGCTCAACAGCTTTGAAGGCCCTTTGATTCAGCTAAACCTTGTGAAATGTTCGTCTCGGAGTATATTTAGCTCGTAATAAATCAAATTGTAGTCGTAACAGCAAAAAACAACTTTTTGTATTTTAAATATATTTATGACACACTACACTGTTTTAACGAACTTCCAACGCAAGAATTTAGTCCAGAAAACAGCTGTTTGCCGCCAGCTTAATCAAATGGGGTTTCATTACGTACTACTGTTCTGTAATGAGTTTTTACCGGACACCAGCTGATTATATTAGGCAATATGAGTGGTTATAAACAAAAAAATTACCTCTCTTAGAGGTTTTGAGTAGTGTTTGTTAGTCCTTAAGTCGGTGGGAATATACAAGGATCTGTACAGGGTTTTATTGTTGTTAGCTTAGAGAAGTATGACGTAAAATATCGTATGTGACTCGTCCAAAATGAGTTTACCGGACTCGTATGGTCCCACACTCGACTTCGTCTCACACGGAAACGATTATACTCGTCCGGTAAACATATATTTTCAGGACTAGAAACGTAATATACTATTTTCAACAACGGCTCTTCCTGCGTTTTTTACTGAGTATAGAGAAAACTCCCTTCCCTAACTTTATACTTTAACACCCCTTTACAATATTTCCGTAGAACAAACCTGATTGGTGCTTAGAGACAAACATATTTTGCCTGAAGCCATAAATAATGTAGCCGCACGTTATGTGCTTCAACATTTAACGAGTGTGCAAAAGTTTGGACACATGCCAGATGATTTATTTCCAACATCGTATATCGTGTAATTTTCAAATTAGTTTTTTCATAAAATTTACCAGTTGGTGTTTCATTAAACTGGCATGTACTTTATTTGTAATCCTACATTCTTATATGATCAATGTTTGCTTGTATGTATGATTGTGGAAAGATCACAAAAACGGCTTTGACGATTTCCTTCAAATGATGTAAGTAATTTATATCTGGCGTAAAAAACGTGTTTACTACAGTACTGCCAACAAAAATCGAATTAAGTAAAAATATTAAATTGAAAGTCAATATTTTTTTACATCGGCCTTATGGGTTGCCAAATAACCATGTTGGTTGAACAAAATAACGAGGAAAAGTAAATAAGAGACTTTAAACATGTGTTTATAACAAGCCATCCACAGTATACTAGCAAATCACAAAATACAGTACAAAGGGAAAAACATAAGTTGTTACTATTGAGCAAAGATTACACTGAAGATTACTCGATATAGGGGTACAACGGAAACAAACTATACCGAGCCATGGCTTGGTCCCAATGTTCTATTTTATTAACATTAAGTGAATCTATACACCTGTAAATAGTAGGATCGCATCATTCAGCTGAAAGATATTTATGGAATGGTTGTTTTCGAAATATGTAGACGACGTTTGGTGACTACTAATTATTTATTGTTATTAGAACAATCTGGAAATATTTCAAAACAATAAAATATTTATTTGTGAGATATAACTTGTCTACTGGTGTCGTAATGAGAAAGTAAAACACGATTTAAAATTTACTATAAAATTAGAGAACATTTAATCAACATCTCAGCTCAAAGTTAACTGCACACGAAAAGAGGCTCCAAAATTGTATATTAGAACAAAGTATATTTGTAATGTCTACAATCAAAAAATCAAAATATGTACCGATTGTCCAGAAATTTTTTTTTAACTAGAGAGTTATTTTTCAGTCACCATGTGTTGAATTGCTTTGACAAAATTAAAATAACCTTCAAAAATGTAGGACATTTTAATTCTTAGGCTTTTTTACAAAATCAGCGATATTGTATTGTGTAATAATGTATCCCTCCATAATCCCTTATTATTCTTATTTTGGCCTGATTCCGTTTCCATATTTTAACTGCAAAATGTGGAAGACTGTTAAAATTAACTAGGCATGTACACTAAATAAACTAAATAAACGTGTAATATACAAAACCCATATAAAACTAATTTGTCATCTGGCTGAATAGTTAGTTAACTTTTAACACTATTTACAACATGGCTAAAAGTTTTTTCAAAGCTGCCAAGGTAAAGTTAAATCATAAAATTTGACTCTGCGTGAAATGGTTAAAATTGCTAATATGATAGAAAAATAAAAAATGGCCTTCCAATCCTGTACTGGGCAACCTTTTGAGCTTAGGAGGCACGCAGAAATTAAAAAAAAACTACCACCTCCAAGCGCTTCAAAAATGTTGAAAAGTGCGTCCTCGGGAATAAGTGAGGTTAGGTTAAAGTTTTCCGATTCGTGTGCCAAAAAGAGCGATTCTCACCACAAATAATGAACAAGTCAACAAAGACACTAGCCCACGACACCATTATGCGCTCAATGTTCAAGTGCCCTTTGTTTATATTGTGTTTGAATCCACGTACTCAACTGAGGTTATTCTACTCGTCTGCGAACTTTTATGAATGAACAAGAATATCTTTTGTAGTATAATAATCATGTTATGCAGTATAAATTATTAGGTACTCAGTTTTAAAAATTATCATGAAATATTTCAGCATCATCCAATTTAAAAACCCCGTATAGAATACGGAATAATATAGAATAATAGAATACAATGGATGGAAATAAAATGTACCTAAATATAGCCGATGATTTGTCATTTCTTTTCTTAGGTCATCACTTGCCGTAATTCATCACGCTACAAAGTGTGGTCAATCGGTTGAATCAAAGAAATGATAAGTGGGAAGGTAGCGATGAAACGAAGGTGGCGCCACTAGCGACTGTCTGCGGCGTGATTCATATTACGGCGCGCCGTAGAAAGTAGTGCCGCGCGGAAATGAAACCTGTCCAATTTCGCGCCACATTTTGCCGCCATTAGCTGTAGAGGGGAGCAGCAGCAGTAACGCGTCGCGTCGGCTACATCGTCAGACAACAACAGTGAGACGACCAGCATATGGACTATGGAGCTAGGTGCATTTACATTATATTGTGTTTGTTTTTACTTGTTTAGTGTCTTTATTTGAGTTGAGTTTTGTGAACGATGGAGGTTGAACTTGATTGCGAGGTGATTATATCAGAAGTAGAGAAATACTCCATTTTATACAACAAATGTGAAGAAAACTACAAAAACAGAAATGCTAGAGTTGAAGCCTGGAAAAATGTTACTGCAGGGATTGTTGGCGAAGACAGATTCGAGGAATTGGATGAAGAAAAACTCGATGAAATAGGTCAGTGAAATGCTATTTACTATTTTACAAGTATTTTTACTAAGTATAAAACCACCTGTTGTACATGTACTATTTTTCTTTAGTAAAAAATTTTGTTATCGTCATAAATTGTTCTTAAACTCAATCAATCAATCAATTTCAATCAATTTAAAATTAATTAATTAATTTTTTTATCAATTTTAAGGACTACTAAAATTCGTAGGCTAACTGCATTTATTAATCACAACTGTTAACAGATCACATACTGTAGGCGAGTCACGAGATGGCCCCCCGGTTGGCCCAACATACAATGCGGAGTTGAGTAAAGTGTGCGGAAAGTTGAAGGCGTTTTACCAGAGCGTGACAGCAGGCATGCTAAAACCGAAAGCTAACTACATATTGTTTATTTGTATGTTTTTGTCAAGTTAAAGGGACAACTTAATTTTATAATTTAAATAAAATATTGCTTAACATTCAACGGGGTTTTTTTAGCAGATTATGTAAAGAAATGGTTATTTAAATGTTTCTTTATCTGACTATAAAAATACAAATGGTTTACATTGCATTGAATAAACAGTTATTAGAAAGGCTGTTTAATATTCAACTTGATTTGAAAGCAAAATAATGTTCTTTTTAGATGATTTATATTGGAAAATAGACTTTTTAGGAATATTTGCTAGTTAAATTTTCCAAAATAATACAAATTATTCCCCTGTCCACTGGGAGAATAACATTAAAACTGTACGCAAAGTACTGTACATAATTTAATCTGAAATGTGTTGTTATTTACAACTCGTCAGAAAACTGTCCAAACTATTTTCCAAGAAGCCCGGTCAAAAATACGAGTCATGCAGTATTGACGCCAAACTACCCTATGAGTCATGCAGCCCTTGGACCGTATAGCGTTTTGGTTCAGTACTGTGTCAACCTTAGTTTCAATCGGTTATCGGTATGTTCCAGTCGACTGCTTGTTTTAGTGAGTGTTTGAAGTTATCGTTTCAGTGGTGTTAACTTGACAGTGAAAGTGTAAAATGGACGTAAGAAGAAACGGTTCAACTGTGCACAGCAGCGAAAGAGAACTGATACGCCGTGTTATCGAGTGTTGTGACCAGGAAGCGCAGGAAAAGACTTTACTATCACCAATAACTAAAGCAACTGAACGTTCTGCGAAATATTGCAAAGTTTCTGAAAGGACTATCAAAAGAATTAGGAGAGAAGGGAAATCGACTACGCCCGGAAAAACACTAAGCACTCCAGGTAAAAAACGAAAACGACCTGATTGCCGTAATGCCATTGTTGACGAATTTGATAGGCGGGTTATTTTAGATGTTGTAAGAGACTTTTACGTAAATAAAAAGATCTTCCCAACTTGTGGCAAGATTTTGCCAGTCTTGAGAGAGAGAATACAATTCAAATGGGGCGAATGGACTCTCCGTCGAATTCTTAAAGAAATGGGATTTAAGTGGAAGAAGTGCAAGTCCAAAAGGAAGATTTTAGTGGAAAGAGAAGATATAGTGAACTGGAGGTGTAAATATCTTCAACAAATAAAAAAGTACAGAGAACAGGGAATGAAGATATTTTATTTAGATGAAACATGGGTTGACAGCAATTTAACCTTTAAAAAGTGTTGGCAGAATGATAAGGTTGATGGTGTTGTACCAGAATTAAACTCCGCAAATAGATTGATAATAGTTGATATCGGGTCTAAGGATGGATTTTTAGAGGGAGGTCGGCTTATCTACAAGGCAAATACCAGCAGCGGAGACTACCACGGGCAGATGAATTCTACAAATTTTGAAAAGTGGATAAAAACCCAAGTCATTCCAAATCTACCAGAAAACTCTGTCATTGTAATCGACAATGCACCGTATCATGGACAACAAGAAGACAAGGTACCCACCAAATCAGCTACGAAGAAAGCTATGATTGAATGGCTTCAAAGACATGGAGAAGTGTACGAAGAAAAAAACACTCGTAAAGCAAACTTGATGGAAGCAATTAGTCGTCTGAAGCCAAAAGAAAAAGTGTACAAAATAGATAAGCTGTTTAAGGAATGCGGGCACAATGTACTGAGACTTCCGCCTTATATGTGTGACCTTAACGCTATTGAGTTTATTTGGGCAAAAGTAAAACAACACGTGCGCTCAAGAAACACTACAGGAAACATGTCCTTGACAGCTCTTCAACAGATGACAACTGAAGCATTGAATAGCGTCACTCCTTCAGATTGGGAAAAAAACTGCGATCATGTTCAACATATTGAAAAAGATTACTGGACAAAAGATGGAATAATGGAGGATGCGGTTGATGAACTGATCATACGACTTGGTGAAGATAGCGACGAGTCTGCAAGTTCAGCAAGTGGGAGTGATTCAAGCTCTGATTCCTTAGATGAAGAAGACGAGTCTGACCTGGCCCAGCCTCTGCCAACTTCCTGTTAAGTCGATTTCTGGACTTTAACACAAATGTTAAGAAGGTACCTAGTAATAAAGTTAGTATTTTATTATTATTTAAATAAATAGAGCCATAGGCAGTTTTTAAATTAACATGCTAAAACAATATTGGTTTTTTAATTCATCTCTTCGAAAAGAATTTGTAAAAGGTATATTTAAATAATATTGCAAAAATACGCTTATTATTCAAATTTCCACAAATTATGGTTATGATATAAAATATGTTCAGTGTAAATTGATTTTTGACTTGTTTGGTTGTTTGACTAGTTATTTCTTGTTCTCTGTAATTAATTTTTAATTTTGATTTGTTAAACGGTTTATTAATTTGAAGTGTTTTAGTCATAAATGTCTTTCCAAATTCAAGAAGATAAAAGGTGTTTGTAAATAGTAGTTTGTAAATAATAATACATTGTAAATAGTAAAGTTTGTAAATAATACAGTATTTATTAGCAAAATGTATTTGATTATTTTTAAAATGTATATTTTAATCCGTAATTAATTTTGCATTTTTATTTGTCACACGGGGTTTTAATTTAAATTGTTTCTTATAATATGTCTCAACAAAATCAAGGAGAAAAATGTGTTTGTAAATAATACAGTATTTATTAACAAAATGTATTTATTTATTTTTAAAATTTATACTATACACTACTTCATTAACTAACTTTTGTTTAAAAATTTTAATTGAAAATTAACGAATTAACACAAAAACAGTATTACTTTTTAATAAATTAATAACGATACTCCAAGAAAGAATTTGTAAAAAGTTGTTTGTTATAATTCAAATATATGCCTATTTTTAAAATTTGTGCATTATTTTATTTCCTGGCTAAGTATTTAAAAACCTTTTGAGTGTATGTTTCCAATGGTTTGCCGGCTCGGTAACGCCTTCAAAAAATTGCTAGGCCAGGTTCCAGGGGCCATCTCGTGACTCGGCTACAGTATTAGGTAGGAACCTTCAATTATAAGAGTGTAAACGAATAAATTAATTGTATTAATAATTGTTCTAAACAAAGTATAATCAGTCTCTTCAACATAATATTTCTACGTGGACTTGTTTCGCTAGGGGATGGATCCTTATGTAAAGTTTAAATTGTACAAGAAAATGTTCTATACATTTTACTCCATTCACTATTATTCTTAACTATCGAGGTTCAATACTTTCCAGATCGCACGAAAAGGTGTCCTCGAAATTGTATACATAATTTCCCCTTACAAATTGTGTAAAATGCAGCAGGTTTTGATGATGCTGCCTGTAGGTTATGTTTTAACATCAAGTGGTCGGTTTATAATTCTCAATTTGTGTGCAAATATGCCTTAGGCACATTCTACATATCGGCTTGCTCTTGAAAGAAGTACAATAGTAAAAAAACGCGTTTCTTAGGTTTGAGTCCCCTGATAGAAAATTGTCTCATTAGTTTATTGTTTAGAGCAAAGTCCTTGCCAGCAACAAAAACAAAGAGGTGTGGTATTCTGTGTGAAGTATTTTAAATTTATTTTTGGTTAGGTGTACGCAGTTTTCTAGATTACAAGTGACCATTTTTTGTAGATTTCAAAAACTCCCATGTAAACCAACGTTTATCTAACTAAAACAGTAATCAGCGTCAGCTACTGCCATCAGCAGCATAAATAAATAATGGTTGTAGACGAAATAATTACTGCAACTTAACTCGTGTTTCACTACACGTATGTGTTTTCTATCAATAGTCCCGACTCAGTGGGGTAATTAGACTTTACGTTTTCAAATTTATCAGCTCTTTTCATCCAGTCTTTATTATTTGGTATTTTTATGTATTCAGCTTGAAAGGTGGCTCACAGTCCTAAGCACATTTCTTGTACGGATGGTGTTTCTGCCCAGAAGATATTGGAAATGAAATAACCGCATTGAGTATCCTCTCGCTAGGTCCCTAATAATCAGATGTCAGGCTTTTTCAGATTTTAAACAAGTTATTTTTTTTATTGCAGGTAAAGAAATACAGAAAAAATGGAAAGCTTTGAGAGATGCATACTTTAGATCTTTGAAGACACAGACTTTAAAAAGTGGACGTGGGGCGAGCAAAAGACGACCTTATCCATATCAACAACAAATGTCATTCCTACAACCTGTGATAGCAAATCGACAAACTTCAGATAATATGGTTGTCGAAGAAGAAGATGTAAATGCTTTAGAAGTCGAATGCCAGACCGAAGATTCTGCACCTCCAGTTTTCAAAAAACCTAAAAGTAAGCCTAAAAAGGAAGATTCTGAATCCCAGCTGTTTGATATTCTCGAAGTTGCACATTCATCTAATCCAACCCCTGGATCTTCTGATGACGATGACAACAAACTTTTCCTTTTATCTATCTTGCCAAAAATGAGACAATTAAGTGACGATGTCTCATTTGAATTCAGAATCAAAGTAATGCAATGTCTGCAGGAATGCTACACCAAGAGTAAAATGTTGGAAAACGAAGAGCCAAATTTTAGAGACGCGGGAGAACATTCAACGTCCACTCCAGAGTTCCAAAATCAATATGATGAGCAAAGGCCAAAGGGACATTTTCTTACACGGTCAAAACAACACTAGTGCAGCAAGTACCGTTTAACAGCTACATAATTGTGCCGAAGATACATATGACTGAAAATACATTTTTAATTTGATTAGTACCCCATTTTGTAGCAGTACTTATAATTTTATTACATTTTTTATTCATTACATTTTTGTCTTTATTTTGTATCTTGTAATCCTCAAAGATTCGCATTTTAACAAAGAACGACTTAAATGATTTTTTAAAGAATAATTTTAACATAAAATACTATGTTCCGTGTAACATAGCATTTACTGCTGTTTTTTGTGAACTACTCAGTTATAAAAAACAACCATGTATAGCACTAATTAGGTATAGCAACTAGTACACAAAAATCACCTTATTGCAACTGAAACCTTTCCCCCTATTCCTATTGGTTCTCTTAAGTTGACCTCTTTCTTCTTTACACGTGTTGTAACTGGTTGTACAAGAAGTAATCAAAGGATTTTCGAGACCTGTGATAGTATTCACACACAAAAACTGAATAGATTCTTAGTTTGCCATGCAACGTATGGAACATTGCTTCAGACTTTCTGTTGCTTATTTATTGGGTGGATCCACCATTTTTCTTATGTACTCTGCGTTGTCTATAAACTAACAGTACACTTACAACACTAGATTATCAATTGTCAGTTGCATGTCAGTTCCAGGACCTCGTCTACTTCTACACTAAACTATCAGTGAAGCAACGATGATCCTGCAGATTGTGTCAAAATAAATACAAGACACATTTTATCCCTTAGCTCATTCACATTATTGGCCACATTGATCGTCTGATGAGGTTTGATTACCTAGTCAGCAATCAAGGCAACTTAAGACTTCTAAATATGATTAAAGTAGGGACTAAAATAAACACAACATTAGAAAACATCAAAAATACAAATGAGTGTCATAGTTTACTTAGTTATGAACACATTAATTTAGAAACACTTTATTAGCAAAGATGGGTGCACCAATGTTTCTCAACTCGCTCACCAATGGGGGAGCGAGCTGGCGTAGTGGTTAGAGCGCGGGACTTCAGTCCCCGAGGTCCCGGGTTCGATCCCCGCCAAGTCACCAATGGATTTTATCTAAGTGATAATGCCGCAACCCCTAGGTCTAGCCTGAAGTAATGTGAAAAACAATCCCAGGCTCGTGCCTAGCGTCCTTAGGACAAAAAAAAATGTTTCTCGGTGTCGAAATTGTTGGCAAAAACCAAAACAAACAACCGCAACAAGCAAAATATCTGTGTTTACGATGTCACTTATTTTGGGACGTGGCCTTTACATTTGCCACTAGTAATTGATGGTCTCCTCAACAGCAAACAGGTGAGAACAGTTTTAAGTAATTAATGTTTCAATAATATAAGCTTACTAGCTGTAACCCGCGGGCTTTGCCCCGTTTAACTTCTTAATTTTCAAGATTATCTCGTTCGCATGGCTCAATCACGTCCTGGTTGAAATTTGTTCGCTACGCTCACTCACCTTTAGGTTGGAGCTCGTTCGCTGCGCTCACTTGCCTTCAGGTTAGCTCGTTCGCTACGCTAACTCGCCTCCAGGTTGAAGTTCGTTCGCTACGCTCACTCACCTTTTGGTTGCAAATTAGCTGTTGTCATAAATGTAAAAGAAATAATAGTGCTGCACCCTGTTGGTAATTTTTGTAACTTTAATGCTATTGAACATCACAGAACAGAACCAACTTGTTTAATTGAAACAGCTGTTAAGATTCAATAATTTCATTTCTCATAAGGTTAACATGGGAAACTCCAGAGCCACTGGGGCGGAGCCCGAAAGGATTTTTGAAATAAGAATATGCCTATATGTTAATCGGGAATGTGAGCTATCATCATGCCAAATTTCAGCCCAATCCGACCAGTATTTTTCGCGTTCACTTGTCACAAACATACATCCATACATCCATACATCCATCCATCCAAACTTTCTCATTTATAATATTAGTAGGATCATTGACCTTACTAATATTATAAATGTAAAAGTTTGTGTGTTTGTTTGTTTGTTTGTTTGTTTGAAGTTCAATCACGCATTAACTACTGGACGGATTGGGCTGAAATTTGGCATGATGATAGCTTACATTCCCGATTAACATATAGGCATATTCTTATCTCATAAATCCTTTCGGGCTCCGCCCCAGTGGTTCTGTAGTTCCCCATGTTAACCTTATGAGTATTCATATTTAAAGGGAATAAAAGAATTTAGTCAGCTGTTTCAAATAAAAAGGTTTGTTCTATGACATGCAAAAGCATTAAAAAGTTATAAGATTTACCAACAGGGTGCAGCACTGTTATTGTTTTGCATTTATGAAAACAGCTAATATAATTTTAACCAAGCAGAAACAAAACAACTGTGATACACAATAAGAACTGTCAAAGAAGGCTTGATTACAGTTATATTTATGTTTTTAATTTCATGAATAATTTGTGATATTTTGCGAATGTTTAATACCTAATTTATTTTTAGTGGTAGAACATTATGGCTATGGTAGATGTGTAATACTATAGTATACCTTAAATTTAAAGAAGCAAATGTTATCAAACCGTGTCCTTCCCCTTTGCATTGAGCATAACTGCAATAAACATTTTAAATACTTATATGCCAACCCCGTACGAAGGACGGGTACTCTGCTAGTAGATTAATAAAGTTAGTTTTAGATCAATTACAAGAGTTGTTTGTGTATTTAACGTGCGAATTGGCACTTAAAACTCGCGTTATAGTCCAGGAGCTGAGGGGGTTTGAGCATGCATGAAAGTAGTACGCAATGTTATTGCTGATTATTGTAATATGGACTGTGGTGATCAAAATTACGTATGTCGCCTATTTCAAAAGTGGTCGATAAGGTGGGGGGGAGGGGGCAAACATGGCGGTTTGCGCTATGCGTTAAAACGCTGATAGTTCGAAAACGGTAAAAGATAGAACATCGGTTAAAACGTCGTTGGAATTCTAAAAATGTGGAAAACAATAATGGTTATTGGGTCCGAGGTCGTATCTCTATAAATAAACAAGTTATAGTATAAAAAATGTAAAAATTGACTTTTTGTGTAGTTTTTTTTTACCGAAAGTAGAATTAATTTGTGAGTGTCGCAAAGAAGTAATATCAAATATCTTTGCTGATAGTTGTAATATGGACTGTGGTGATAAAAAATACGAATGTCACCTACTTTTCAGGTGGTCGAGAACTTGGGGGGAGGGGGGCAAAGATGGCGGAACGCGCTCTGCATCGAAACGACTGTAGCTCGAGAACGGTACGAGATAGGACATCGGTTAAAACGTAGTTTTAATCCAAAAAATATTACCAATAGAAAGGTCATTGGGTAAAAAGTTGTATCTTAACTAATAAAAAAGTTATAACAATAATAAGTTTAACAAAATCTACAAAAACAAATCTTACAAAATCGTATGGATTGTTGATAAATAATAGTGCAATTACTTAATTACTCGGCTAAATATTAACTAGATGCATTTTCTTATAAGAAAAAAATATATTATTAAGAATACATTTGGTTTAAAATGTAAAACACGGCCTCCAAACGCCTTGGGTTTCGTCCGATTAGTCTGTATTATGCATTTGATTGCGGCGAAACCCCAAGTATTATATGTAGTTTGGAGGCCGTGTTTTACATTTTAAACCAAATGTATTCGTAATAATATTTTTTTTTTCTAATAAGAAAATGCATCTAGTTAATATTTAGCCGAGTAATTAAGTAATTGCACTATTATTTATCAACAATCCATACGATTTTCGAAAAAAATTGCTGTACGATGTAGATTTTGTTAAACTTATTATTGTTATAACTTTTTTATTAGTTAAGATACAACTTTTTATCCAATGACCTTTTCTATTGGTAATATTTTTTGGATTAAAACTACGTTTTAACCGATGTTCTATCTCGTACCGTTCTCGAGCTACAGTCGTTTCGATGCATAGCGCGTTCCGCCATCTTTGCCCCCCTCCCCCCAAGTTCTCGACCACCTGAAAAGTAGGCGACATGCGTATTTTTTATCACCACAGTCCATATTACAACTATCAGCAAAGATATTTGATATTACTTCTTTGCGACACTCACAAATTAATTCTACTTTCGGTAAAAAAAAAAAAACTACACGAAAAGTCCATTTTTACATTTTTTATACAATAACTTGTTTATTTATAGAGATACGACCTCGGACCCAATAACCATTATTGTTTTCCACATTTTTAGAATTCCAACGACGTTTTAACCGATGTTCTATCTTTTACCGTTTTCGAACTATCAGCGTTTTAACGCATAGCACAAACCGCCATGTTTGCCCCCTCCCCCCCACCTTATTGACCACTTTCGAAATAGGCGACACACGTAATTTTGATCACCACAGTCCATATTACAATAATCAGCAATAACATTGTGTACTACTTTCATGCATGCTCAAACCCCCTCAGCTCCTGGACTATTACACGTTACATTTTTCCTACAGTTGCTATAAAGCATATTTTCACCACACTATCATGTTTTTGGCTGTATTACATACGTTAATTGGTGGCCGAAAGTTACGTTTTGCTGGCGATGCCAGCTGTCCATAATTTGGGGACCGAGCAGGTTTTTACAGGCCGGGGCCGCAAAATCAGCTGTCCGCTTACTTACTTAAAACATGAATGCATTTTAAATACACAACCAAAATCCATAGCATTGCAATAGAATTGTGTTATTGTCACCGTTGCCTAGCAACTATTTATTTTTATTTTTGCTGATTCCTCAAATTATTTCTTCACATAACCTTAAAGTTGTAGTTGTGTTGACCATCAGTGTGCATTATTATAGTGGTGAATAGTGGTAATAGGGTAAAGTGTGGTGAAAAATAGTGTTCGTACCACGGACCGAAATGGTTTTGCAGCTCTCGATCATTTTAAGTTCTCGACTTCGTCTCGAACTTAAAAACTATCTCGAGCCGGCAAAACCTCATTTTCGGCCCTAGGTACGAAATATACTATTATAATTAGTTTTTCAAACACCATACTATACGTTTTTAGGTTAGGTGAAATTACAGCTGATCGTAGTCGTAGTATATTTAAGTGTTGCCAACTTATTTTCAAGGGTACACGTGCCTAATAAAAGCACACTGTTTTGAGTTGTATGGTTGGAATACTGGAGTGCGGCAAAAGTAAGTAAATGCAGTATTTAGATACTTTGCGTGCTATAATCAGTGCACGGAAGCCTGCTTTGTCAGGTAACTGAAGGAAAAATACTAAGAATATTTATTTAACACGTGTCAAGTTATTTTTGATTCCATTACATGAGGAGCCTATTTTTTTGTTTGGTTTATTTTCAAAAACTGCTCTAGTCCCTTAAGGTATTAGTAAATTTGTATTGCCTAAATACGTATAAATAATATATTGTAGGGGTTGGATATGTATTTAAGCTAATGGCAAAAATATAATTTTGACAGTGGCAGTACATTTTGCGAGTGGCCCATTTAAATTAGTTCTATTAGAATAAACTTTGACTTTAGCTTGTTTTATAGATGGGATGAATTTCTTTATAATGATAGGCTAAAGGGTCAATGGTACTACGAAACTGCGTTTCAAATGGCATTGCAACCACCAATCGTGCAACCACCAAAATACCATTAAGCTGGTATTTCTTAGTGTTGAAAAATTGTGATAGATGAAGTGAGTTATCTTACTTAAAAAAAATAAATAATTGCAAAATATTTATTCAAATCCTTGGGGAATTAACTAAACTTAGAATCTTAAAATTAAGTTAATCTGTTAACTAAAGTTAGTATCCATATAAACAAATTATTTTCGCTTTGCTCAGATGTTTTTAACCATGGACTTCCGATCGATACGTCCTCTGGAAAAACGCTACGGTTTCATTTTTAGTTGACTTTGACAAATGCGATTGATGATAGAAGGCCTTGTCATTTTTGGAGTGTTTCCAAACAAATATTTTATAGTATGATCACAAACAAGTTGGTTGTGGTCTTAACAATAAATTGGGATCCACTCGGCAGCCTGAAGTCAATTAAAGATGGCTATATGGATTGAAATATAGGTCGGGATTAAACATTGGAGAATTGGTGGGATTTGAACACGGTACCTCAGAGACTGAAGTCCCGTGCTCCACCACAAGACCAGCTTGCTCCCCCTATATCAACTGGGAATACATTAGAACCTTGATAACAAGACTCTCATAGGGATCATAAAAAAGACTTGTAATTAAGGTTGACTTCTTATCGAGGTTTGCAATAACATGTGATTAGGGGTAAAATAATTTCAAGGGGATTTGAAAATGACCCTTGTTATCAAGGGTGACTTGTTATCGAGGGTCTTCTTATCGAGGTTTTACTGTAGTAGTAAAAATAAAAAAATCATTTTACGTGCGAAGCTATGAGAGGCAACACTTAACACAGTTCCTACAGTTTGTTGTGAGAAGTTGGACTGAGAACGAAAATATCCACGACCTTGACTTCAACGCGGTCAGAACACTCCATCGCACTGTATCGACTGAGTTTAGGGAATGTAGTATCATTGACTATGTAATGCCACTTATACAATGTCAATTGCATTGGCATTACAATGACAATGGATTATACATATAAAGAAATTGTTAGAACTAAAACCTTTGTTATGAGTTTCATGTACGGATAGACTTGCGCTGCTGGTGTATACTGAGTTTTTCTCCCTTATTTTGAGTTAAGTTTTACAAAGTGTGCTTGATATTTGTTATCATAAAAAATCAATAGCTTATTAACTGTAACTTTTAATTCAACAAGTTTTGAAGCTTAAATAAAAGAAAATAAGTAGAAATCAACAAAAACGCTTTAAAAAAATCTGAAGCATGTTTTAATGATTTAAATAGGCAATGTTTAGTTTTCCAAGTAAAACCTAATTGCAGTAGACGATCCTAAAATATACATGACATAACAACTAGTCTTCACATCATTGCCAAATGCATAGCTTGTTTTCTTCTGGTCAAATGATTTTAAGCTAATTTTTCTGGTAAACTCCCCCTGTTTTTGCAAAATTTATTTATTGTAGTAGTAAAATTAAATAATATAATATTTTATTTTCCATTAATTATATACATCAGTACATTGTATTGTTTACTTATAAATAATACAGCAAACATTACTATCTAGAAAACAAAAATTATATACTGTAGAAAAAAAGTGAACATAAATGTAAAAAACAACCTTCAATAACAAAGGACCTTTCAATAACAGTATTGCGAATTATTTACATCCCAATACTTCTTAAAATAACATTTTAAACTATTTTATGTACCTATTCGGCCAAATTTTTTGCGTATAAATTACTTCAAGTATGTGGAATTTTTCATTCACTTTGGATATTTAAGTTCGACGTCTTACCTAATTGTAAACAATTAAAGCTTGTTTCACCTTTTTGTCTTAATATCCAGTAAAGTTTGGGTGCCTTCATGTGAACCGAATGTGTTCCCTGATTTTGGATATCCATTAACAGTATTATGCTCTACACTTTCTATACCACAAAACGATTAGTAGTTAGTAAATTAAATAGTTTTACATGGTTAAAATAGTTTTTAAAATGCAAAATAGAATCACATAGTTTTGTACATAATACTTAATTAATTGATCTTGCTTCAACATTAAATAACTCGACTAATAATCTAATTAGGCTACTGGCAACGAAGGGTTAGTTTTTTCTCTAGCCCGAAGTTAATTTGTTTCTAATTTGAGGAAACTGAATGATAATTTACCAAATGAGAAAAGATGCTAGTAGTAAACTAACAACGGATACATCGTAAATTATTTTTTGTGTGTTAAAAAATAGGGCTGCTGATTAAAATAGTAAATTAAACACAACTGAGCACCTTGACATTATTATATTTTTATAGAAGTATAATATATTTATACTTCTAGTCCGAAACATGCTACTTCTATATTATGTTTAATTTACTACTTTATAATGAATTGAAATACAATAGTAAAGGAAATTGTATATTTTCACACTATTGCGTAATAATTACGAAATTATTATCCTATTTATTTATATAAAATACCGCAAAACTTTAATATTTTACCAGAAAAAATAAAAATCTGATTCAGTAAATATGCAATAATTTCCCCCTTTAATCACGAACGAGTAAACATCTAAACACCAAAATTGTAAAATGTTGATCTGGTCGAATTATATCGACATTCCAATCATCGTCAGGCCCAATAGGAGAAGGGCTAATTTAAATTCCGCAAAATATATTAAATTATTATAATAAATAAAACTTTATTACACTTTGGTTTAATTAAAACCATAATTGAAATAATAAAATAATTTAATAATTAAGTTTTACATCATTAACTGGATAAACATTGCAGTTACGTGCATTAACGTATATTCTACATGCTACATTAAAATGCATTTTATTTCATAAATGATTATATAGTGATATTTTTTTTCTTATCTCCCTGTACATATAGACTACTATGGATATATTACTGCTTTCATAAAAAAATTCTGTTTTGAGTTTTGTCTTTTGTTTAACTCCCAATGCTGTAAATATTACGACCCAAAAGATATTGAGTTTTTAGCGATTCTACCCATAAAATATAATACAAGTTATTCCCACTGATTACCATTATAAGGTTTGTTGAAAAGCTAATGAGAGAAGGTTTAATGTGTCTGATATAGTTAATTTTAAATCAAACTATAAAATAATATCTAGTCGAGCAATATTAAAAATACACGTTACATACGTTTGAAACCTGTAAATTAAATTCTACGATAACTAAGGGTAAATTTTGTAAAATTGTTTATAACAAAATAATTCTATAATTTTCTTCTTTAGATTAGTAAAACAAATCATTTTAGCAAGATTCATTACAATATATATTTTAACAACTACAATAATTTTAACCAACGCTTTTTAAGATATTTTAGTAGGCCTATATATCCTAGACAAAAGCTTCAGTAAAGAATCGACCAAACCTACTTTTCACGTAGTTAAATTTCAATAATAGATTGTAGTTTCTAGTTAAAACGCAACAGATCCCAGCTTGTATTCATCCGCTGAGGGACTATTTGTTTTGTACAACCTGTTTGTAAAAAGACCACTTGTTGGCACTTGTTTCTTGTTGCTGTTGTTGTGAGGTCAATGAGGGTTTCGATACTTGGCGTTAAATATTGATTCAATATCGAATGAGTGTTTTTAAAGGTATATAGATCCAGATTATCGATTATGAATACTCAAGGATGTTTTTTTAGGATTAGATGATGAAATATAAAACCAATTATTCGTTTACTATCGAAGATATATTACAGGGTAATTGTGCTTCTAAAAGATGAGAAGTAGTATCATAAAAGTTTACTTTTGATCCAACAGACCATACATCATTTTATGAAGAATATAATGGGAAATTCATTTTAAGTATGATGAAGACGTGGATACAATAGTTTCAACAGGTGTAAGAGGTGTTCATATACACAACCTGAAGTGGAAATACTCTCACAAATACTTAGACGACACACAATTCTTTTGCTACGTAGTCTTCGATTCTACAAATCTTTGTGCAAGGTACAAACCTGGACCGGGTAGGCGTATCCAGTACTCCAGCCCGTGCACACCACAGCACAACACACCACTACACGAAGCACAGCACAGGACGCACAGAAGCACGGGCATGCACAGCCCACCCGCGACTAAGGGATACTGACGGTGGCGGGCGGGGCGACGCCGCGGCGGCGCACAGGGGCAGATCGATGGGAACCGTCGCGACGACAGGGCAGGTGATAAGGCAGGAGATAACAGATGTGAAATTGAGAGTATCAAGATAAGGGTGGTGACGTAGCATTTGGTTAAGAGGAGAAAGAGTGAAATGAGAATCTGGCTAAGGAAACTGGAAGTAACATTATACAATCAGGTCAGGGAAAATGTAATCAGAGGATCAGACCAAGGAGACTTGAAGTAACAAGTGACTTTGGAGAAGGTGACTTGAAGTAACATTATGACCAGGGGGCTTGAAGTAACATACGATTCGGACTGGGAGAAAATTTATCAGAGTTAAACCGGTGAAACTAGAAGTAGCATTGTAAAATCTGGTCAGGGAAAATGTAATCAGAGGATCAGACCAAGGAGACTTGAAGTAACAAGTGACTTTGGAGAAGGTGACTTGAAGTAACATTATGACCAGGGGGCTTGAAGTAACATACGATTCGGACTGGGAGAAAATTTATCAGAGAGTTAGATGAAGGAAACTGGAAGTAACATTGAGATCTGGTCAGGGAGTAAAATGTGACGGAAAATCGGTTCTAGGAGACTGAAATCGACAAGTGAATAAGAAAAATAAGACTGGAGATGGTAGGAGAGATAAATAGATAAGTTGTGGTAAAAGACACTCATGTCGATAGGACTGGAAGTAAGTGAGAATATGGCTAGGGAGCTGAAAGTAACATTATGTTCAATTTCATTATTGAACTATTGTTAGTCGTAATTCAACGGTTGGACTAATTACGTTGGACATTTTCTCCGTGTTCCAATAAGAGCGGGTAGCTATCGGTAACTTGAGGCGGAATTTCATGGGGAAGTAGGGTAATACTCCCTCTAACGCACCAGAAGAAAATAGGAGAGTCACGAATGAAAGCCTTGTCTAAAAGTTTTGTGGTGGTCAAATTGCCGAACACAGACAAAGATTGTACAATCTGTTAGAAGAGACGGATATCAACCCCGATTGCTCTGCTGTAGCCATGGTCGTAGATTGAAAATGACGGTAGAATCTGGGCAAGGATATTGAAATTAAGATGAGAACCGGGTAGAGAAGGAAGAAATTAACCTGATAATCAGGCAAGGAGGACGGCGGTAACATGTCTAAAAAGCACAGGGTTGAAGTAGTTGTCATTTCCAACAATCAAAGAGCAGAGGTAACCGTTAAGTCCGACAACCACGGGATTGTGGTGACAGTAATAATCATGTCCGGCAACGTTTATTATGAATATTTCTTCGGAAGAAATACTTACAAACAGGTGATGTCAAATGCAATGCTTTCAAGTAAATGTTGTCAAGAAAAATTGGCGTCGCCTGGTTTCCAACATAAAATCTAAGGAACATAAGGGCATGGTTGTCTCCATATTATGTTAAAGAATGCCTTTTCTTAATTTCAAAATATTGGCAAAGGTCACAAGTTTAGCATGATCTATAGTAGCTATCTCCATACAAATTAACTATGTCTTGCGTTCAAATCTTGAATTGCAAAAGTCCTAAAACTCCCGAAGCAATTCAGAGAAAACATCTATTTTTAAACTTAACGATCAATAAATGTTCTAGTTGCTAGAATTTATTTATTAAAATAGCTATACAGTAGCTCTATGTTAAGTACAGACAGTAAACAATTTAAATTCATAAGACAATATAGCAAATATTAAAAGACATTCACAATGCAAAATTATACCTCAAATTGTAGCAGAAACATGTTCATTTCTCAACAACGCTTCTGCCCTTCCATCATATTTCAAGTGTTTTTCAAGCCGTCAAGTGTAAACAAAGTGAAAAGTCAGGGACGAAAATGCGCTTCTTCTTCCGCGATAAAATTGTTTTGCTGAAGATAAATTTTTAGTCTTTCTCTACAATAGTTGTTGTTTAATAAGTATCTAAAGTTTTTAATAACGTAAAATACAACTTAAACCTTGGAAAAAAGTTGCCATTTTTAATATAAAAAGTTTTATTGTAATGTGTTTCAACAAAATTTCGTAGGATTTTTGAAATTATTTGTTATTTCGTTTCATGGTATGGATAATCTTATGTTTTTCTTTTAATTCATAGTTTTTTATTGTATGAAAACTTCTTCCGATTGAGAGTTTTGAATACAATGATGACTTTTCATTTTGTTAAATGGATAATAGGTACTAGTAACTGGAAACAGGAAAATTTTACAGTTGATCAAGTTAATAAGTTGATTTCTTGTGCCTTGACACTCAAAACAAATTTTATAGAAACGAAGTATCTCCAGAAACAGTTTTATTTTTAACATTCTATTTATTTTACCCCATTATATAATTTACACGACTTTGTTACTTTGCTAATGGGAAACTCTGTATTGTATACATACGTTATCAAGAATAGTAGAAGTAAAGATACATGATTTAAATAATATCAATTGGCACACACTAAGCTAGATTTTAGACGTCATATTAAATGAATATTATTGCTTGTTGACATGTACAGCTCTTCTTTAAATTTAACTCATTTTATATTTGTTAGTTTTGATTGAATGGTTAAATAGTTTGATTGGAGGTTAAATTGAATCAACCAGCGAGCGCACGCGGGTATAAATATGGTTATGAAGGCAGTAAATGTAGGCCCGGACTGAGGAATGAGTCATAAAATGGCAATAATACACTCGGCCCCGTCAACCACTTGACTGGAATAACCATATGGCTCAATATGAATAAAGAGGCTCCGATTAAATACCAACGTTCCAACCAAGATGGCTTCTAAAATTGGATTCTTTTATTTCATTATTATTATAGATTTTAAATATTTTCAGTAAAATATTTCTCATACTATTGTAAAATCTAAAGACTGTTATTTATTTATTTATTGGTACATCTATTGGTAAATACTAATCCAATGGTACATACTGACCCATTGGTAAATACTACATCCGTTGGTAAATACTGATCCATTGGTAAATACTACATCCATTGGTAAATACTGATGCATTGGTAAATTCCGATGCATTGGTAAATACTACATCCATTGATAAATACTACATCCATTGGTAAATACTGATGCATTGGTAAATTCCGATGCATTGGTAAATTCCGATGCATTGGTAAATACTACATCCATTGGTAAATACTACATCCATTGGTAAATACTGATGCATTGGTAAATTCCGATGCATTGGTAAATACTACATCCATTGATAAATACTACATCCATTGGTAAATACTACATCCGTTGGTAAATACTACATCCATTGGTAAATACTACATCCATTGATAAATACTACATCCATTGGTAAATACTGATCCATTGGTAAATACTACATCCATTGGTAAATACTGATGCATTGGTAAATTCCGATGCATTGGTAAATACTACATCCATTGATAAATAGTGATTCATTGGTAAATACTACACCCATTGGTAAATACTGATCCATTGGTAAATACTGATGCATTGGTAAATTCCGATGCATTGGTAAATACTACATCCATTGATAAATACTACATCCATTGGTAAATACTACATCCGTTGGTAAATACTACATCCATTGATAAATACTACATCCATTGGTAAATACTACATCCGTTGGTAAATACTACATCCATTGATAAATACTACATCCATTGGTAAATACTACATCCGTTGGTAAATACTACATCCATTGGTAAATACTACATCCAATGATAAATACTACATCCCTTGGTAAATACTGATCCATTGGTAAATACTACATCCATTGGTAAATATTGATGCATTGGTAAATTCCGATGCATTGGTAAATACTACATCCATTGGTAAATACTGATCCATTGGTAAATTCCGATCAATTGGTAAATACTACATCCATTGATAAATAGTGATTCATTGGTAAATACCACATCCGTTGGTAAATACTACATCCATTGGTATATACTGATCCATTGGTAAATACTACATCCATTGGTAAATACTGATCCATTGGTAAATTCCGATCCATTGATAAATAGTGATTCATTGGTAAATACTACATTCATTGGTAAATACTACATCCATTGGTAAATACTACATCCATTTGTAAATACTACATCCATTGGTAAATACTACATCCTTTGGTAAATATTACATCCATTGGTAAATGCTGATCCATTGATAAATCCTGCATCCGTTGGTAAATAGTTATCTATTGGTAAATAACATATCCATTGGTAATACTAAAGGGCAAGCGATTGTGTATAATTAAATCGTTGTATTTGGTTGACTTCTTTAAAATAATTTAATATAATAAGATTTTTTTTAAATAACCTTAGAAATCGATACGAATTTAACATAGAAAACGCTCACAAATTACGGTCAATTAATTAAATACTGCTTGCTTTAAAATGCACATGCCAGCCAGTACCTAAATGTTATAATTCAAAAACTAAACTCACAGTATACCACGCAGTCCTCTTTTCTATCTTGCAATACGAGATTGAATTTTGAGGGGCAACTTAATATTCTAAAGCAGTTTAAGATTCAAATTTGTTAGATTTTTATCATTTATGTCAAAAATAACATCATGTTTAAACCTTTATTTGTTAAATATGAGATTTCAACTTTGTCTTCAATTTATATATGTATTTGAAATGATGGTTAAAAATACCCCCGCCGCAGCAAACCTGCAGACTAAGCGAATTTCTATTTGCCTGATTGGATTTACACTAAAATGTCTACTTAAAAATATAAAAATTATTTCCTATTTAAATAAAATTAGTTCAACAAGTACTTAGGTTTGCTGCATCAGGGAGGGCAAAACTTTTTTTTGTAAAATGTTAATAGTTAGTAAGAAATAAAAACATTTTCCAAATTTGATCAAAATATGTTCATAAACAAGCATATATATAGATATAGATATATAAAAATGTGAACGAATGGTGTTTTTGGCATCTGGGGACATCAAAATGAAAAAGTAAATTGGTCCCGGGCCTAGGTCTTACCATGAGACCTACGGTAATAGCTACTTCCCTGTAGGGAAATTCGCTAATAAGCTATCAAAAGTACCATGATAAACAATTTAGTCACTATCCTACACGTTCAAAAGAATTTTAATTTCTAAGACATCGATTTTGCTTTTATGATGAATCTCCTTATTCCCGCTACCTCCAAAGATATTGGCAGTGTTTCAAAATTTAAAAACCCTATTAAACTAACAATACACTTAATAAATAATTCTTATCCAATATCTGAATATTTAAATGATAAGTAAATTAATAGTATTTTTTTCAAGTATAATTTTTTTTTAGTTTTTTTTTATATTTATTACACTTGCTTCACCAGGATTTGTGAAGTGTTTCGTGGCAATAAAGTAGTATGACATTTAATTTAATTCCAATTCATTTAATTTCGATGTATTTTAATTAATTTGATTTAATTTCAAATAGCAAGAAACACAAACGAAACAGCACGACCTTTACAGAAACGAGACGGGAAAATCTTCAAATTGAAATCATCTAATCCTTGGCCCATCATATTGATCAGTGCAGGAGACAGATTTCATGAGGTCTATATTTTTTTACAATTAATTACTATACTAGTGTACCTGTTACTCGACCAATTGCCATGTACCGGTATTATACAGGAGTTATTTTGGAACTTATAACAGTCATAATTTTCGATGAGTTTTAAAGACCTAACTAAACTCAAGTTTGATTCTAAGTGAAATGTTTTTCGTCAGCCGGAAAAACCTTGTTCGACTACCTTTTCACCTTTTAAATTAGTAGTCAAACACTATGCCGTATCAACACTTGCTTGTTGTTTGTTTGTTTAAACATGCTTTCAGAAATACTTTAAAACTTGAAAAAAATGTTTATGAAACACTTTAAAGCAATATTTAGGCACTTTATCGTACAAATTGTCGGTATGGAATAAACAAATTTTGTTCAACATTAGGAAAACAAACAAGTGAAAGAGTAAATAAAATGAAAAATTTTGATTAGTCAAATGTTTGAGTTTGTATGACTGCGAATAACATAACCTTACGGCTTTACTAAATTAGCTCTGAACATATGTTGTGTAGCGTCATTAGAGCCATTAAAGCAAGTCAGTTAGTGATCGTCTGTGGATTGAAACAGGTAAACTATTTCGTACACTAGCCTAGCCTTCATTTAAACTGAATAAGGTAAACGCACCAGTAGCTGACAGTATAAGAAACTATACGCACTTAATAATCCGTGGTTTTGAATAAATAGGAACTAAAGAGATATTACGGATTTCATGTGATTCTAAATTTAGTGTAGTTTTCAAATTTGTCATACAAAAAGGGGTTTTTAAATATATTTTATAAAATTTTTAAACTTAATTCAACCTTTGTACGTGTTCCAGTGGCTGACAGTGAAAAAAGTGCTTGTACCAGTAGCTGACTGTCAGTTGTCCCAGTAGCTGACACTGGCACTATAAATGTACTAGCTGCTAAACCTAAGGGTATTATAATTTATAAGACGAATACAATCTAACTTAATAATTAAATTATAAAATAATGTAAAACGTTATTAAAAAAATTTATTTTACATATTTTAAAATAAAAAATATTTACATTAAAAAATATATACCTATATATTTTATATACCGGGTGTCCGAAAAATAACTCCCTAGTTTTAATAAACGATTGTTTATTGTAGAGAATACATATTCTTATATCTAATACATGAAATTAAAGAGGGTTTACTCAAGTTTATTTTGACATTAGTACACCTCGATATGTGACCCATTTGTAGCTCTACAGATATCTAACCGGTATTCGATCTCTCTCCAAGTGTTAGTTAACATATCAGGTGTCACTGATTCTACTGCAGCTACGATTCTTTGACGAAGATGGTCAATGTCACGTTTTTTTCTGAATAAACCAAGTTCTTAACGTAACCCCACAGGAAAAAATCCAGTGGTGTTATGTCTGGGCTTCTTGGAGGCCACGCGATCGGGCCAGCTCTCCCCATCCATCTTGCCGGGAAACCGAAAGGTCCTCCAAGAAGCCCAGACATAACACCACTGGATTTTTTCCTGTGGGGTTACGTTAAGAACTTGGTTTATTCAGAAAAAAACGTGACATTGACCATCTTCGTCAAAGAATCGTAGCTGCAGTAGAATCAGTGACACCTGATATGTTAACTAACACTTGGAGAGAGATCGAATACCGGTTAGATATCTGTAGAGCTACAAATGGGTCACATATCGAGGTGTACTAATGTCAAAATAAACTTGAGTAAACCCTCTTTAATTTAATGTATTAGATATAAGAATATGTATTCTCTACAATAAACAATCGTTTATCAAAACTAGGGAGTTATTTTTCGGACACCCGGTATATTTAAAAAAATATACATTTTTTAAAATAATTTGGCTTATAAATTAAAAAAGTTAAATCATTTTATAAAAATGTGAGATCACATAAATTATAAATAACATGCAAATGTCGATGGGTAAAACCAATTTAATATTGTGCAAGTAGCAAATATCCCCTGTCAGCTAGTGGAACTTGTATGGCTTTTGTGTACCAAAGCCTGACATTGATATAATTTTAAATCCAAAACCCCTAACACCCCAATTTTTCATGAAATTGTCAACAAAGGTATAATTGATAAAAATAATGAGCCTAATCATTAATACTATTTAAGAAATTTAGCGAAATGACAAAAAACCAAACTTACTTTCTTAACAATTTCATTAAGGGAATCGACTAAATGTGATGTGTACAGACAGGGTCGCTTTCAAACCACCACCATTCCGCGAGTATGGGCTAAATTTCACTGATTTTTTTGTAAACAAATCAAGGATAAACATATGTTCTTCTAACAATGCAATCACGTGTAAATATTTTTAAGAGACCACATTATAATGTTAAGAAACTCAAACTGTCAGCTTCTGGAGCACTGTCAGCTACTGGTGCATTTACCTTAGCTATGATAACAGTAATGTAAGAGAAGTTTTTTCATTGTTCAAAATTGGCACAGCTGATAAAATGAATTGTCTTAGTGTAGAAAAAGGTAGAGGTTCTACAGAGTGTCCCGGAACACTCTACCAAAATTTTAGGGCATTGTTCCTGACTAAGAAACATATCTAAATATTATATTTAAATTGTCCGGATTTCCTTAGTTACTCACACAGCCACAACTTTGTATTTTTTACTTATTATTTTTCTAAAGAATGGTGAAACATACGAAATTGAAAATTTGTACAAACATTTATGGCAATTTTCCAAATTCATTAAACAAAATGGCGGCCATTAAAAATTTTGTTTCTTAAATAACTCAAAAATAGTTGATTTTACACAAATTGTACATTAGTAACGGGTTTGGAAATTTTATTACAAATTGATTTACACCGCTGGAGGTTAGTTGCAGCGCATGCTGGAAGCGGTCACGTATCATTAAAGCTGCCATATCGCAGTTAATATTCGTCCAATATTAAAAAATAAGGTGTCAATCGATTTGTAATAAAATTGCCTAAAAAAGTTACTCTTGTAAAACTTTTGTAAAATCAACGGTTTTTGAGTTATTTAAGAAAGAAAAATTTTAAATGGCCGCCATTTTGTTATATGCATTTGAAAAATTGTCATAATTTTTGGTAACTTTGTCTAGTTGTAAAAAATGTTTGTGCAAAGTTTCAATTTCGCATGTTTAACCATTATTTAGAAAAAAATAATAAGTGAAAAATACAAAATGGTGGCTGCGTGAGTAACTAGGGACTTTGGAACAATTTAAATATTATGTTTCTTAGTCAGGAACAGTGCCCTAAAATTTTGGTAGAGTTCCGGGACACCCTGTATTGAGAAGCATGGGTCCCATCGATAACAATGTAGGAAATGTGTGTTTTTCTCTGTAGACTATAGGTGGTTGAGTATGCGCTGAAAGTGTAACGCATTTGACTTTTGATTGTTGTTGGGGGTATGTAGATGACCAAAGCTGATGTTGTCACCCTCCCAGGCGGTGCTCAACTTGTAGGGAGGGGGAATATCGCAGGGGTGCGTTCTAAAACACCGCTCATATTTCGCGGCCTAGACACTATAGAAACTGTAAACACTATAAACTGTATTTTACTATACAAATTATATTCTTTGAAAAATGTTTTGAGGAAAATCCCTCTTATAAGCGATATAAATTGATTAATTTTACATTAAATTACTGACTGATTAAGGTACGGAAAATCTAGACCACTTTTGATTGATGTACCAGAGATTGAAATTTGGCACGATTGTTGGTCTTAGGCCCAAAATCCGGGAAAATTCGTCAAAGTTGCATTTTAAAATTTTAATCTCCTAAAAAAATTCCCATTCCATGTTATTTTTAGCGGGAATAAAGTTATAAAAAATAATAATTTTTTATGCTGACCTAAACCATTTTGGAGCACGCTAGAGACTTAAAATTCTACAAAAATGTGGGATGTAACCTCAAATTTTTTGGGAAATTTCCAAAGGTGACATTTAAAAATATTAACCCATTTCAAAAATTCAAAAGGTGAACTGCTCAAATTGGTCATTTACAATGTCACTGTTGACGTTAAGTTCTACAACTAATTTCCTTTGTCTTTTATAGATAACTTCATATCCAGATGTTTCAATGCTATTTTGTCATTGTTGCTGTTCTGTTGCCTTTACAAGGTTAGTTGGCAAACTATTAGTACTGTCTTAGATTAATACATAGTAGGCCTACTCCAGTTTATACTGTCACTGTCGTCCAAATTAAAGTATAATTCCGTTTATCTTCACACCATAACCACCCACTCATATTTGCTTTTATTCGTAATAACACCCATCTTAGAATTCCAGCAAATTCAATCACCTTCTTTCAAAGAAACCCCTTTTATAATGCACTTAAGCTTTTCAATGATCTTACAACCATAAAATCAACTCCTCATCAGACCGGGATGCTTCAAAAACCACTTAAAGTAATTTATCCGTGAAAAAATACTACAGTGTCCGACCATTTCAAACTGGACTGACAGTTTTTATCAATATTATTTTATATTTTTAACATAGTATTACACAAGTACCGTAGTTATAGTATGTTGGGTAAGATAAAGCAAATCAACTGTCAATTTGGCTGAATAAACTAGTTAGAGTTAATTAGCTGAACATAATATTGTAAAAAGGTTAAAGCATGTTTTTAATGTTTTGTGTAATTTTTGTAATCTTTAACGCGGCCGATTCAAGAATGGTTTAATTTTCTTCAAGCTTTGTGGCCTGATGATGATGCTAATGCATTATTGAAACGTGTAGTCCAGAATAGCAGCAGAGGAATCACGAGGCAGTTACAGGTAGGCCTGTTTGAACTTTTTTACAATATTATTGTCTACGTGATTCGGAATAAACAACACAACATAAAATCATTAAAATGTACATTTACAGTCCCACGTCAGTCGATTGGTACTATAATTTATTTATCAATTATTTTACTAACTTGTAAACTATGAGGACCAAGTAGAACGATGTATTTAATCTATTTATCCCATGGTATTATTTCCAACAATATCAATTAGAACAAACACTGTAAAATTTTCTAATTAAAATATTAAATTTCACGTAAAAAAACATTAACAAACTAACCCAAGTAGCAGGAAAAAAATGGTTTTTATATCAATTTTAAAATTATTTTTAAACTTTTATTAATATGTGTAAAGCTGACAACGGTTTCATTTTAATACAGATCAAAAATTGTTCTCAACAACTATGTTACAAGAACTTCAAAATTGTTTTAAAACAATTAAAACGTGGTTTTTATGGCAATTTAAATTTAAAATTGCTTTAAAACAATTTAAAAACTGTTTAACAACAATTTCAAAAATATTTTTACAACAATTTTAAAAATGTTTTTAGAACAATTTAAAAATAGATTTTACAACAATAAACAAATTTTCAAGAAGAACTGGTAATATTGGAATGAATATAAATTTGAAATAAAAACTTATACACACTTATACACTTATACAACTTATACACCAATATTTTCAGGATTTTTAATTTCATGAGGGCTTTCGCCAGTTATGCTGCCATCATCAGAGTTTTGTGGTGTGCCCGATGATGACAGCATAGCTGGCGAAAGGCCTCATACAATTAAAAATTCTGAAAATATTGTTGAAGTTTTTATTTCAAATTTATAATTTAAAAAATGTTTAAAAACAATTTAAAAACTGTTTTACAAGAATTTAACATGGTTTTAAACGATTTAAAAACTATTTTACATCAATTTAAAAATTGTTTTTTAACAATTTAAAATAGTTTTACAGAAATTTACAAACTATTTACAGCAATTTAAAATATGGTTATTTTAACTGATATGAAAGGAACGTAAAGAAATCTGAAAATGAATCTAAACTATTGCCAAACAATTTTAAAACTGTTTACAACTTTTGCCAAACAATTAAAACATTGTTTTGAAGCTATTGCCAATTATTTGATAGCAATTTCCCAATACTTTATAAACTGTTGTAAAATATTTTGAAACAGTTACGGTACTAATAATGTTCCAAATTGACAACATATCGTTGTTAGTTATTTAGAAAGGACTTAAGTACAACAATTTAAAGCTTTACAGCTTAATTGGGTATCAAACACACAGTCACCAAAAGAGACTTTAAATTTAACAAAGTGTGATATGTCTACTTGCACAATCCAAAGTCAGTGTTTCAAGTGATACTGATTCTGTACTTGGTATAGCTTTCTGTTTAGCCCCAATCTGTCCGAGCATGAGTATGCTAAATATAACATCTTAGAACCTTTCCCAAACAAGCTGAGAATGCGCTAAACTCTAAACAAATGAGTTTGTGGCTATGCAAGCCTAAGGCCAAGTCTAATATTTACCTGTTGAAGTCAGCTCAGTTTTGTGGAGCGCATCGGAATAACTTTCATCAAATGTGATAAAGCAATGTTAAACTTAATGGAAAAAATATGTACTTTATTTTTCTTAACTTGTAAATGTATTGTTCAAGAAATTTGAAAGGAATTTTATAAACGTTGAGTTTTTCAAGCAAATAACAGTGTAAAATATTGTATTGATAAATTTAGGAGATTTAAAAAAATTAAATTCAAACAAATTTTGACAAACTTTAGATTCTTAATGGAAGAAAGATTTGTTTGGCATGTTTTAATTTTTTTTTAATTCAAAGTCCAATGTTGAGCTGAGTACATCACAGAGTAGAATGCATACTAAAATTTACCTAGATAAGGGAAACAAATATTTAGTCGACATCAACGCTCTGAAGTGATACCTAACATGAAATACCTGTAATTAGTTTGAGTTAAGAATACAGCTGATCAAAGGTTTATCGTAGGACTTGACTGACCAGCTGTTTTAAGCAAGAAAGGAAGAAGGATTTTTTAATTGATTTTGCAGGATTATGAGATACAGAATGGTAGACACATTCATGAGTGTCCATCAATATCGGACCAAGCCACCCCCCCCCCCCCTAGACCCCACGTTATTCAAATTTAGATTTTGCAGTAAAAATTAAAATTAAAGGGAATTTTAGGTACAAAATTGTGTAATATCAAAAATGTTGTACCTAAATTTTAAATATTTTCTATAGAACGACCCCCACCCTCCCCCTCTATAAAGTGGGTATTTCTGTACCCCTCAGCCCGCCTTATGTAAAAGCTAGATGGACACCCATAATGCCTCATGAAAATTTATCTTAAGCTTTGGGTGTTCCATACTCATTTTCACCGGTTTCCTTTCTCTTTTTTACGACAAAGTAAAATTAGACAAGTAGAATGACACAAAAAGTTTTTGTTCATTCAGGTCTTGCTGATTTTGCGGAACAAGTAACACATGCACTACCGGTACCCTGCCGGCTAACACTGCCATCTACAAAGTGTCCTGATGATGAAAATATCATATTTCACCTCTACACCAGGTGAGATTAGTGATACTGTTAATACTGTTCAATGAAATGGTGACCATACATAGGTATTTAAAGCCAAGTATGAATGGAGATGAGTGGCCCGATCTTGTACCTAGTCTTGTTAGTGACTAAGGCCGACATTCCTTAGACACAGCTGTTAATTAATAGCCCATACAGCTAATAGCAACTAAGGGACCTACAGTTTATAGTGGAATCCGAACCACATTTTTCCTTGGTATATACGAATTGGTCTAATTATCAGGATAGTACTGCGGATAGTCGTAGTACTCACTCGTGCGGACGTTATGATAAGAGAATCAAACACATTTAATTAATTTACTAATAATATTCATTAATACAAAGTCAGGGCGAGACAAAAGCAGCAAAACCACAGTCCCAGCCTACAAAACAGCTGTTGCACTACTTCATAATAGAGCGTCTGCACTATGTTTATGTTTATAGTTTGTTATTATTATTATTGCAATAGGCTGGCCGGTGTGACGTTGCCACACACCAACGCCTACAAAAACTTATTGTCTTGTATTAGACAATACTATGATTTACTCAATATATTTAACTGCCAGGGGATTCGTAATGGTCAACTTTGCTGCCTTGTTAGTTTCTAATGTATACCCATTTTTCACCTGGAAGAAGATGAAATTAAAATGTCTATTATACAGGGATACCTAACTGAAATTTTTCTATCAGAATTGCTATGCAAGTTTAACATTAAACCAGACATTTTTGTAGAGCAGTATAAAATGATAAATTTTATTAAAAATTAATAATCTTAAATACCAAACCACATTTCCTGTACCTATCTGAATCTTCCTTCTTTGGAACAGGCCTTAGATGGTAGGAAAAAAGAATTAATTTGTATATGTATATATATAAGTTATGTATATATATATTTTTTACAGAAAGAATCAAAAAGGGAGTCAGATAGTTAAAGTAAACAAATCTAAAGACAACATCGAAAAAACACATTTCAATCCAGATCATCCAAACAAAGTCATCATTCATGGTTTCAAACCGTTTCCATACAAATCACAACTAACTGCTATAAAAGATGGTACGTACAGATGTATTACTATTAATTTAAAAGTATACAATATATGAAAAGTAAAAATATTTTTGTGAAGTAGATAGCTAGGTCTAAAGCTGAGAGGCTTAAGGCGATGGAGACACCACCATAGATTGAGGGTCGGCTTGATGGGGTCTAGTGTACACCTATATCTGTAGCAAAGCTAAGTCGGAGAGGACCAACTACAGGATTGGATCCAACAGGATTGGTGGATTATTTGAGCACCGAATGAAACAACAGGGTGAATAGAAAGAAAACTTCAATGAATGATTCACATTTTTATAACTTTGTTATACATTGACTTTATATAAGGGAATTATTTTCCCCCATTATAACTATATCCTATCTACCTGGGAAAAATTATTTCAGCATATTGGTATCACTGCTTCGGATGTTGGATGATGCGAAACCTCATTTGAAAATTTTGGCGAAAAACATTCTTTTCAAAACTTTCTCTCTAAGTATGAACCTATTACATGTATTTATGTCAATAACCATTTTTTATATTGTCTTAGGTATCTTAAAACCAAGTGTGTTAATAGATTAGCCTTAGAATAAACTATACTAGTGTACCTGTTGCTCGAATTCGAGCAATTGCGAAGCATTACAGGCGACTCAAAGATTGTGGAAATACTTACGATCTACACAACAGTTGGAAATAATCAAAATCTTTTGTAAATATCTTTTTTCAAAAAGGTGATCTTGTTTTTTTTTAGTGTTTTCTACAAATTTTTCCCTCTTATCATTAGGTATTAGGCTTATCGTTTGGCATTAGGTTGTCTATGATAACGATTATAAATGAAAATAAAACATTATTTCAATTTATTCTACTTGGTTGTGTTCTATGACTTTTTCTATGTTTCCATTGTTTGCAAATCGGTTAGAAATGTAGAACAGTGTTAATTCAGTTTTATGTTTAGCCTAAATCAAATTGTCCAGGATTTCTCACTCTTTTCCATTGTAATAATTACACCAACCTACGTACAATCACCAAGAAGTGGAAAAAAAGGAAGAAACCAACCCATTCAATAGATATAAGTTAACTCCAAAATAAATAATTTTAAGAGTTACTGTGATATTAGGATTTTCCACTGATTTGGTAATAGAACATTATATTGCAAAACATGACACGATGCAGAAGAAAATCCATTTTAAAATCAGAAAACCCCAAATACTGTACTTTATTTTGACAAATTCAATAAATCACAATTTAAATATTAACAGCTGTTTCATTAAAAAGTAGTGTAGAATTATGCATATGGTCGTAATGTAAACAAATCTGAAGAGGCAATTTTAAAGGCTTCTGGGGCAGAGCCCCAAGGGAATTTACTTCGTTCCTCTTTTGATGGCTCACCTACAGACCAAGACCTTTCTTTAGAGACCCCTACCAAGTTTCTACGGCCAGCCGTTCTCTCAAATTAGCTGTGACAAAAACCCCGTTTTCCTCCATAAAAATAACATGGGATGGGAATTTAAAGGCCACTGGGGCAGAGCCCCAAGGGAATTCACCATGTTTCTCTTTTGATGGCTCATCTACAGACCAAGACCTTTCTTTAGACACCTCTACCGAGTTTCTACGCCCAGCCGTTCTCTCAAATTAGCTGTCACAAAGAAAAACAGTTTCAAATTAATATATAGATTTTTTACTTTATTTTAATTTTAGGTTAAGTCATGATTTTGCAAAACCAGGGTAAATAGAATAGTATATTACGTTACTAGTCCTGAAAGTAAGTGTATACCGGACGAGTGTGGTCGTTCCCGTGCGAGACGAAGTCGAGTACGGGATTACCATACGAGTCCGGTAAACACATTTTGGACGAGTTACGTACGATCGTTTACGCCATGCTACTTAATCCGTACAAATCCCTATATATTTCCACCAACTAAAGGACTAAAAATCACTAGTCATAACCTCTGTTTTTGTTTATAACAAATCATTGCCACGCAAATACAGTATAATCAGCTGATTGGTGTCCGGTAAAACTCATTGCAGAACAGTAACACGCAATGAAACCCCATTTGAATAAGCTGGCGGCAAACAGCTGTTTTCTGGACTAAATCCTTGCGTGGGAAGTTCGTCAAAATAATGTAGTGTGGCGTAAACATTTTTTTTTTGGAACCAGTGGTGCAAATAAAGGTGGACCTGAAAACCCCCAAAAAAGAAAAAAATTACCAGAGATGAATATGATTCCACATCAGTCACACTTCTCACTGGAAGAAAGTGACAAAGACTATGTTTTGATGAAGAAGAACCAGCATACCTAGCTCAAGACATCAGTGAGTCTTCAAAGTTGTCCCTTCATGATCATGTAATTGTCAAAGTAATGGGGAAAAACAAAACTTGCTTAAGTAATTGAATTTGACGAGGAAGGATAAATAGGAAGATTCATCAAGAAAATTGCGCAAACCAACAAGTTCTGAGAGACAGATTAAGAGGCCCTTTTCAAAGTCGATGACGTAGTACGCCGGCTTCCAACTCCCAAGCCGTGTACAACTTGTAGATTTAAGGGAGTGTTGTGTTTTGAGGAAGATTTGTCTGATTTTACTCTTCATTTAGTTGGTTTCTATGTAAGATTTTGTAACTCTGATTTCACCCATTGTCATTTATGTTCTCCGATTTGTTTGGATAAGGGTTTATGAAAACGATGTTTTTATACTTCGTACTTATAAATAAATGGGTTAATTAACTTTAAATATTTTTATTTACTACAACCTAAGCTAACAAGCATAAATTTCATGTTTCTATTGCCCCTGGTAAGTGGGGAAAAGCAACAATTTAACCCAGTGTTTCTATTCACCCCAAAGTGCAGGGTGAATAGAAACAGCCATATTTTATTTTTTTTCTTCTTAATGATTAAAAAGAAAAAAAATTATAACTGGTTTGAGTAGAGGAGTCCAGGACCGGAAATATGAGCTAGTGTTGAAAATTTAAAAATTAAAAATATCGTTTTTACAGAAGCTTAAAAGTCAAAAAGTGTTTCTATTCACCCCATTCTACGGTAGCACTCAAATCAGACATTTTGCAACTTTTTTTCTTATTTGCATTTTGTGTCTCCTAAAACTTTTTAGTAGCTATAGAAGTGTGGAATTTTTGTTAAGAATATAGAACAAACTATACAAATATATCAAAGCGTAGCAAATTCCCTAATTAAGTTCTGTATTTTTGTGTGTATGTCTGTTGGAAACGCATTAATGTACTTATTTCTCAGTGTTTCACGGAAAGGACAAGAACACCTTGATAATGAAAAAGTCAACCCGAATACAGTGTTAAATTGTGAGGTTGAGGTAGTACCTTAAATAATTTTAACCATTGTAGAAAGTAACTTTCAATTACCGGTACCGGTATAGGCCTACCTTAGGGCTATGCCTCATAGATCTATAAAGCATTTTGTAGTATAATCACTGGATTTAACATATGGACCAACACGATCCGGGTGACATTTAATTGTGAAGCATTTTTTGGCTTGGAACTTTCAGATACTGTATTTGCAAAGGTTTATATATAATAGTTTTGCCAGCATATCTTAAAATATGCAAACCAACTGCTGTTCTTAATCTAAGGTTTCAACTGACTACGATAAGATCCCTGTGCGTAGAACGGGCACACAGCTAGTATCAAATAAAATCACTGAATAAATCCTGAAAATCAGTGCTGACCCAGCTGAGCAGAATATTTCCATGTATAATCTATAATAGTCTCTAAGAAAATATTTAATCAACTCTAAAATATTTAGCCATTCACAGTTACGGAATTTATCTTGATTCTGAGTGAAACTTCCAAGATTTGACATGATCAAATAAATTGCACTCTCTCACTTGATTTTATATAAAAAAAATCACGGTCTGCAACTGATTCCTCAAGTAATAAGAGATATGTCAGGTAATACAATCACAGTAGGAAGATTCTCTGTAGGTTTGTAATACAATCTTAGGAATTTGTCATACAATTATAGAGGCCTTCAAGTTCAATACAATAATAGAACTTTTTGCTACACAATCTAGATTTTTTTTATTAAATCCTAGATGCCTGCAGTGGTTTTGCAGAGCAGGAGCGTGTGGGTACAGCATTCCCGCTCTGCTTTTACAAAAAAATCAAATATTACATATACTAATAGACAACACAAGTTTTTCCCGAGACGATGGTAAACCTTCCTGCACTAGAAAATTTACAGCTACTCCACTGAAGGTCTGTAAGTTAATACAATCATAGAAATTTTTACATGGCATAAATCTGTAATACAATGCCAGAAGTTTGCAGAACCATCTTGAAGGGTGGTATCACTATAGCTGTAATTGTTGCAGCCTACTTATCAAAGGGAGAGTTCAATGTGTGGATGATAGAATGGGACCATCTGGCTGCCAATGGTCTGTGCCTCTTGTTGTCTCTGACCAACACTGAACACGTAGGCATGTGCACGGCGCAGTTGATCAACGCCATCAAGCGCCATGCACCAAACTCTCACATACATGTAGTGGCGTACCGCGCCGGTGTGAGAGTGGCTCATGATCTCTCAGAGGCAATACGGCCACTGACACTCAACAGAATCACAGGTTTGTAGAATCTTCACAGTATTTCCAAGTTTTTTAGATGGTGTGGAATTTTAGAGCTTAAAGTTTGGAAAAGGCATGAAATTGAGCATCAGGATGGTAGGGGTCTTTGAGATTCTGTCACTGAGCTATGCTTAAACCTGCATGTGATGTGGCCACGCCATCGACTTTATTTGTGTTCGTAGATAAATTATGTGTTTTATTTTAATAATTGTCCACCACCATAAATGGATACATAAGAAAGTAGCTTTTTTCTTTCAGCAGTATGGAGTTTGAAGATTGTAGCTAACGGAATATTTAAAGCTAGTTAGTTTTTAAAGGACTATTGCTAAATTTCTTCATCGCTGATAAGTAAAATTGAAGGTTCTTGATGTATTGAGATCTGGGATCCAATCTCGTCTTTTGATGGGAAGAAAACTAGAACATAACACGATTAGGACACAAAACTGTCCAGTAACATGTCTTGTTCTATGTTCATTCCCACGAAAAGACGAGTTCATCAGATTCCAGACTCTAAACGTCTTGCGAGTAATTAGACTTCATAAGCTTAATTTTCTTAGCTTATATCATTGACTATTATTATATGTTATTTTTGGGAATTTGCTGATTGTAATGCAACACCTTCCTGCTCCAAATTAGTGTCCTAATATTGAGGATAAAAGTCTTCATAATTTGAGTGTTCCACAAAAAATATGGGCCCGTAGAAATTTAACAGCTGCTTGTTACTTTTGATGAAAATAACCATCAGAAGTCAAAATTTCTGTCAAGAAAATGGTTGACTAGCTTCGTTGAAAGTGCAGCATTGTCAGAGTCAGCACAACTTTTTAACATAAATTTGAAATACATAAAAACGATAGGAAGCCTATTTAGTCATAAAAAGAGACTATGGCCATAACAAGTATTGCTGTAATTGAATTCAACAGCAATTACTGTAATTGAATTCAACAGCAATTACTGTAATTGAATTCAACAGCAATTACTGTAATTGAATTCAACAGCAATTACTGTAATTGAATTCAACAGCAATTACTGTAATTGAATTCAACAGCAATTACTGTAATTGCCTCAAATGTCTCAGGCCATTGTTATGTGGTCCACTAAAGTAAAAATAATTATATAGATTTGCTATCAACAAATTTTGAAATTAATAATAAATTAGGAAATAGTTTATCCTTCAATAATGAATTTTGTTTTTACTCAAAACAGGTTTGAGTCCTAAAGGAGGCAAAATTCCCACCGGGGAAGATTTCTACAAATTGGATTTTTGGGATGCCGACTTCATCGACACAATCCACACTTCTTGGTATCTCACCACTGAACAGATCGGACATGTTGACTTCTATGTGAATCCAAACCTGTCCCATCAGCCAGGCTGCGACAACGTGGTTGGAAGTACAAAAATATTCATGTTCAACTCTTAAATTTATATTTTAGAATATTAATAACCACATCTATATAGGTAGCCTTTCAAATATTTGTGATTTTAAAATATAAGCTACACAGGAGGTGAAACAAAACATTAACATATTTTAGATCAAAAGTTTTTGTTTTAGAGCAGAATAACTTAAATTTTGTAATAGTACCGGTAATTCACCACTAATTCAAAAATTTCTGCAGGCATAACTAAATGTGACAGGATGAGAGCGCTGCAGTACTTTGCCGAGTCTATCACAACTGAAGTTGGATTTATTGCTTGGAGATGTCAAAGTTATGCTGAGTACACTTTGGGTACATGTCATCCTCATGAACCAGCGATGGACATGGGAGAATCTTGTCCAATAGAGTAGGTTCTATTGTAGACATAACCATAGACTTTCTATACAAAAGGAGACATCGCATCCTCTTTTACTTTTACTTATAGATACTTTTAACATAAATGGCGACCATAGGTAGGTAGGTATTTAAGGCCAAGTATTGAGATAAATGTAGGATGAATGGTGCGATCTTGTAGTCTTGTTACTGAGGAAGGCTGACATGTTCCGTAGACAAGACTGTTAATCAATAGCCCATACAGCCAATGGCAACTAAGGGACTTACAGTTAATAGTGGAATCCCAACCACACTTTTGCCTTGTAATTTACAAATTGGTCTAATTATCATGATAGTACTGCTGATAGTCGTAGTACTAACTAGTACAGACGTTAATCCACACCAGGGAGTATCGCATCCTTAGATCATGTCTATAAATATCCACAATTCGTTACCTCCAAGTAGCTGGATTACAGCACGATGCCAAGGTTCCAGTCCTCAAGGACAAGCGTTCACTTTAACTGTGGACATCCTTCAACAGAATTTTTAGTGTTAAGCGATACCTACTGATAACTGAATTGAACTCTTTGGACTAATACAGTAATGCAGTTTTTAATGCATAGTAGTGTGTCAGACTTTTGGTGTTTTCACACAACTGTTTGGCTTTAAAATGCATTTAACTTCTTGATTGGGTTAGCATTAGATGTTAGTGCTTTTAAATGGATAGAATACAAGTCTTCATCCATCACTACTTGTTAAATAGTTTCACTGATACTGTAAAATCTTCTAAAGCAGAGTTCAATTGCCTGTAATAACTCTCTATAGTTCCCCAAAGAATGTCATACGGGGATTCTCAAACCACTTTTGATTATTAGTAAGTAATTGACCTTGATTTAAATGTTTAAATTATTTTTTTAATGTTGTTTCAGCGGCTCAGGAGTGTATATTGTCTTTACGGCTAAAGAGAGCCCTTACGCTCTCGGACACTGGGATGAAGAACTTTACAAAGAGAAAGGCCCTCAAATGAAATTTAATATTCTTACAAAATCCTTGACGAATATAAAAACCAAAATCGAAGGAATAAGAGAGAAAATTGAAGAAATAGATGAAAAAACTCCTGATATTATAAAAGAATTGGGATTGACTGATATGGTGAAATCAACGATTGAAGATAAAGTTGAAGAGTATGCTATGAAAGGATTTAAAGCTTTGGCCAATGCCCTGGAAAAGAAACATAAAGATGTTGGTGGTGTCACACCGATTCCTGATATAGTTGATAAAAAGGAATAAATTTATGATTTTGATTCACGTTTTTATTTCCTATTACTCTTATGTTGAAAATTCCAAGTATGAAAACAATTACGCCAAAAACAAGATGACAGAAAAAGGATAGTTGTAATTATTGTGGGAGCCTACCAGTAGACCGACAAGATACTTGGTCGTCTGGCCACTAGACCGTCTTTTTTAATAAAATAGATAAATACTGAAAACCAGTATGTCGACAAGTTATTTCATCGTCATTCCAGTTGACCGGCATGTAAAACTAAATTATTATATACGAGAAACCAACTTGTCGTCAATCGACCCGACCGACTTACCACTTGCTCGTCTTTTAGGTGGGGATAGGGGGCAGAGTGGGAGGAGCTAACCGGGGATTACCCAGGAGTTTGATGCGCTTCTCATGGTTGAACCACCTCGCTCGAGGCTAGAAGCCAGTATTGCCAACTGAAAGTACTATAGCTCCGTCGAACACTACACACGCGGCGTGTTTATTGTACAGTCTGGCGTTTAGTTGATGTTGGCGAGCAATTCTAATAGATAGTTTCGTCGTTTCTATAGCAACCGTGCCGTGACCTTGTCCTTGGTCTCGCGCATTCCTCTGCCTTTGTATTATTTAATCTGCATCGAAAGATAAGACTCGCTTATATGCATTGACTATTGAGTCAAATAACAATTTCATTCGGGGTTTTTGATCGTTTGTTTGGATAAAACTACGTACCGTATATTGTTGAATCAAATTTGTAGTGTGGTAATATGTTACCTGTGTATAATTATGGGTATCATGGAGGTCAATTTACCTCGTGTATATCAACAAAGTTTAATATCTTAAATTAATCCGAACGATTCATAGTAGCCAACAGGCACAAAGTAGTGTATTATGCAAGATGTAAATTTCAAACATGTGTAAGAGTAAAGTAAGAAATATTCGCAAGTTTACTGCAACAGTAGTTCGTTAGGATTGTCTATTTAAGAATGTTATTATTACGTGTATAAGCCGTTCATCAAGCGTCATGATAAAGAAAATCTTTTATAGAAGTGAAAGTGTATATAAAATATCTATAAATAAAATTAGAGTTTTCTCTGTGCTTTGTTCAGGATTATGTATTTTTCGGTTATGTTTGAGTTTATACTTTAAAAAGCTTTTAATGTGTTATGTAGATTTAATTTTTTGTTTTGAGGTCCCTAGAGGCCAAAAACACCATCCGTTCAAATGCATATGTATATATATGTGTGTGTCCGTTAGCGCGATAACTCGAGCAAAAATGATCCGATTTTGATGAAATTTTGTACAATCGTGTAAACCTACGTTTATTTGTACGAGTTCGCGATCCAGCATAATCTGACCATGGGAACGGGGGTTTATTGGGGGCTTTATGGGGTAAAAATGGGGTTTTCCATTTTTTGACCCTAAAAACAAAAAATTTTGCAATTTCTTTTTAAACCGTTTTGAAGAGCTTAAAAAATTAATAATTTTGTATATTGAAGCGCTGTTGTATGCCTAACGGTTATGGAGAAAATTTAAAAATAGTATAATTTAAAATTCTCATGATATTCTTATGGAGAAAATGAAAACTGTTGTAGTTTACTTTTCTATGGGTATATATTGATAAAATTTGGCAAATTAATTATTTCATCCTATACTATTGACATATATGGTCCAAACACACTTTTTACCTTCCCCATAGCAGCACTCGTTAAATCTAATGATATTTAAATTTGGAATAAACATGTCTTATTTATAGAAATATTTTTGTAAAAATGTAATCAGACAAGTTGAAATTCGCTTAGTGTGCAGGTTTGCTGCGGCGGGTATATTAAACATATGTGATGATAAAGAATCTATATAGGATACACATTGTGTTATATACGTTATATGCTATGTTATGTTAGGTCGCTCTCCGGTTGAGTGAATTTGATACTTTCCAAATTTCTTCATTAGGAGTAAAACAAGTAGACTTCTTACCCCATTGTAAATCTTGAAGCTCGTTTTCGTGTCTAGTTCATGTACGGTGACACTGGGCGCTAGTGTCAACAAAATTGTGTTTCTATTATATCTTGATTTGTGCTTTCCTGTTTAGTTATATAAATAGGAGACGAGTTATTGTTTATGATTAGATCGTATTATTTGGTTAAATGATGTTTTAAATAACTGAAATAACAATAAACCAATTGTAAACAAAACACTGCAAGTAAATTTTAGGCTTGGCCAAAACCGCTTGACAGATTGTAATGAAACTTTCAGGCATTATTAAGCATTATTCAAGGATGGTTTGTGTGAAGTTTGGTACAGATCCGTCAATAGGGCTCCGCCTCAGTGGCTCTGGAGTTTCCCATGTTAACTTTATGAGTACTCATATTTAAATGGAATTAAAGAATCTTAACAGCTGGTGCAACTAAACAATTTGATTCTGTGATGTTCAATAGCATTAAAAAGTTAATAGGTTTACCAACAGGGTGCAGCACTATATTTATTTTTAATTTATGAGAACAGTTAATTTGCAACCAAAAGGTGAGTGAGCGTAGCGAACGAACTTCAACCTGGAGGCGAGTTAGCGTAGCGAACGAGCTAACCTGAAGGCAAGTGAGCGCAGCGAACGAGCTCCAACCTAAAGGTGAGTGAGCGTAGCGAACGAACTTCAACCAGGACGTGATTGAGCCATGTGAACGAGCTCATCTTGAAAATGAACGAGCATGTGACATAAAACCACAATAGGACAGGACGACGTCTGTCGGGCCAGCTAGTCTTATATAGTGCTTAGGTTTCTCATCAACATGATAATAGAGTTCTTTTTAGCGTGTAATGAGGTAACTAACCTAAGGGGCTTAAAAACTCGAATGCATACAACAGAGCGTTCTACGTCCCTTGGTAAATAACCGAATCAAAACTGATAAATGCCGTTTCCTGTCGGTAACGAAATCAACCCAACATAACCATTCATTGAAACCTGTTTTAAAGAAGAGATAAGAGGTGATATTATTTGAAGATGGGTTTGTTAAATATATATAGAATAGTTGGTAGGTATGTAAAAATGAAGATTAAAGGTTAAATAAATAAATATTCGTTCGTTTAATTAATATAACTGAAAAAGTTGTACATTTTGAACAATCAGCTGTAATAACCTACAATCATGCGTCCACTCATAACGGTGTTTCTTTCGGCTCTCTTTTTAACGTCTTCGCGTCAAGTAAAAATTATGATTGTGGAGGGTTTCACAAATGTAGCTAAGGTCACGGGAGATTTTACGATGTCTTCGTGATCTTCATGGATGTTCACGGTTGCTGCTGAAATCTTTTCGCAATATTTTGTGTTTCAGACTTCGCTTTATCTGCAAACTTCCACTAATGAGTGAGTCTGCCTCCGTGCCGTGACCGGTTAATAGTTGGTCTACTTTAAATTTTAAATGTTTTGCGTGCGTTGTGTTTGTGTATTTATTTAAATGTTTTTTAGACGACTATATCATGTATTTTTTTCTTGAAATGTATTGAATGTGTTTATGTTTCATTACATAAAAATTGTATTTCGGAAAAATAAATTTACAAGAAAACGCATTAAGGAATATTTGCAAAAGTCAAATAAGAAAACCAATAATCCTACACCTTGAAAGGTGAGTTGCCTAAAGTAAACATGTAAATTTCAAAAAACTGGCTTAGTGCAGCGTCGCTATTAAGTTAAAATTTGTATTTTGGTTTAATCAGACTAAAAATGTTTTAAAAGGGCAATACAACAAAAGGACCTATTGCCATACAACAATAGCATTTTTTGTATTATCTAGGTTTATTCAGAAAACCCGCTCTTTGGTGTTTTAAAAACATTGATGCAATTACAAAAGTAGCCATCTTGGATGAAATTAATAACTTCACCCTGCAGATCGATATAACTAAAATTTCAATGGTGGCAAGAAAAGCCTCTAACGCGAATATGCAACTCAGAACGTACCAGTCGAAGGTAGACAGAAGTTTTGTTATAATATCCCCCGGGCATTGTTAAAGCTAATTCCCTGATTTATGGCCCTCCCCGGCACATTAGGGGTGCCGATCAGTCGATGGTTCCGAATGGGGTAGGAAGTGAAAGTAGTCTCGGTGAGAAAGCGCGAACTGCTCCGATGTTCCTAGAAGGATATGGATGAAGTAGGCCTACTACACAGGGTGAATCACGTCAGGTGCCCAGTATTGATTTCAGACAAACCGTTTGTTCCACAGTCATGAAATAAAAATTTTCCCACTAAACAAACTCAACTATAACTTCAAAATATTTTAAATGTTTTTTATACAGAATGTACCAAACCCAGAGGTTATCCCGTTCAAAATATCACAATTATTGTCAAATGGGTGTAGCAAAATGTTTTATTTTTGGTTCTCTTTTTGGCCCTAAACAGGTGGGTCAACATTGTCTACAATATTTTCACCAAGCGGAATTTACACACATAAATAAAAGTGGCTTTTTTGAAATACCGAGTAAAAAAGAATGATTAATCCTCGATATTATGCATACATTTCACTAAGAAAAAGCATAAATAACTTATTCCTTGTATGGGAAATTCACTAAAAGCAATTTGTAATTCGCTACAACCGCTGATACTTGACATATAATCCAAAAACATAAAGCAACAAACTCATCTGCAATTGCATGATTGTGACTTTTTAGCCTTTATGCAAGGATGTAGGGATGATCGAACTTACATCTGATCTTCTCTCTTGAGCAAGCATTATAAAATAATCATAAGGTGATTAACATCATAAGTGAAGAAGGCAGATGACCTTCCCTAAAAATACTAGATAAACTCTAGTGAAAATAGTCGTACCTTTCACCTATTCTGGACACATTGAAAAATATAGGCCTACTGTTATTTAGTAGTGTGTAAACGCTGATATTAAGAACCACAACAAATAGTGCACAAATGTTGATTTTAGCAAATATTTCCATTCAAACCAAATAAATACAACCATCTCTATAAATAAAATAAAATTATAAATTAAATAATAATAAGATAAAATAAATAAAATATATC